TGAGGAGTACCTGTCCTCTTAGCATAGATGTTTATAGTAAAGAATCTGAGATTTCAAGCAGCCATTTTTTATTCAACTGATTGCAATTTCTTTGCTAGTGGGCGCAGTGGCGTCTCAGAATGAAATGCTCTTGCTCAGTTGAAGTGGTTTAAATTATTATTCATTGGAATCTTCCATTAAGTGCTGTGTCATCTTTCTTCAAAGCACAATTTGTTCACTAGGAAGTATTCCTTGTCAAGTCCAATACGCAAAGCTATTGTACACCACTTGCTCAACATTTTTGTTTGTTTGTTTTCTTTCCATAACACTCTGTCTTCATTTATTCTGGCTTCTGTGGACAAAATGAGTTCTGTTTGCTCGAGGCCAAAAGAAATTTCAGATTTTTTTAATACTTGCTGTTTCCCCTGGTGTTTTTGAGTAGATTCGGAGCAGGGTAGATAAAAATCAATGATTTCTTTTAAATAAAACAAATCTGATTTTTAATGTTTTTTTAATAAAATGCTTTTTCTGAGGAAAAAAATCTATCTAAAGATAAAGATACATTATAGCTCAAAGATATCTCATTATGGAATAAGGGATTATAAATTCTAATTCTATAGTATGAGAATATATTAATATAATGTTTAAGAAAAGTTTTGTAAATGAGTTCCCATAGTTCATGGCTTAGGGACTCAATTTTATGGGGTTTTAGGGGCTTCTGTATAGATTATTTAGGTTAATCTTTCTATCTACCCACCCCATGGGACTCAGTGCTAAGTCTAGAAGATACCATCAGAGATGCTTAGTTTTGCAGTTCTCAAACTGTGGATTTGTGTTTCCAGAGATAACACGCTTGTTAACAGCAAAAAGGTTTTAAAATAAATAAATAAATAAATAAAATATGGAGGTGAGAAATAACAGACCTCATCCCTCTGCAAATTTGTGTACACAGAGTCAATCCCTTACCTCTCTCTAAAAAGTGCAAACTTTCAAAAAGTTCAATGAATAGAAGATTGTTGGGGGCGGAATAGATCTGGACAAGGAGAAGAAGTCTGGAGATAAATGTGAGAAGTGAGGCACAGGCAGTAGAAACAAAAACTTGAAACTGTTTGAGCAGCATATTCCAGAAGTTTTGAGGTCTTTCTGAGTGTAGCCTTCATTGATTTGAGATCTACCATACGATTCTCTCACTACAAGGGAAAACCCATAATGGCAGCAGGCCATAAGAGAGACCCAGTTTGGGAATATTTTAATGAAATTCTCTACCTGTGGGTAAGACAGGCATGCGTGCAAAATGCAAACACTGCAACAAAGAAATGCAAGGCCTGGTTGCCCAAATGAAACAACATCATAAGAAGTGTTCCTTTTCAGGAGGAAGCTGTGTTGAAGATGATGAAAGGAACATGTCTGAACATGCAAGATCTGCAGGTTGGTAAACTTTTTTATTTCATTCTTCTTTCTTAAGGACTGCCTGTCTTCCTTCTGGACTATTCTTGAATTCTCATGTTTGAGCAAAAAAATATAGTTGTTACTCTATGGTACTATCATTTTAGATGCAGTTGTGACAAGAAATAAATAGCTGAAATAGGCAGATCTTTCTTTTACACCTTTAAAGTAGTACAGAGTGCCAGTGAATGCAATGAGTAATACTAAATGAGCAGTGTGATAATAATAATTAAATAACTGCATTGACTTTTTTTGTTTAGGAGAATCCATCCTCAGCACACAGGATTCTGAAGACTAGCCACCTTCAAGGTTACCATCATTTTCTATAGTTTCAGAGTTATCTGCCAATGATAGTGTTTCAGTCACATCATGTATGTCACATAGCTACAGTATATCACCTATAGCAAAAAGAAAAAAAAAAAACTCCATCATCCAGGAACAACCATAGATAAGTTTGTGATAAGAACCAGCAGATTACAAAGAGAGGAAATTGATGAAATAATTGCCCGCTTTGTTTATGCAACAAACTCTCCTTTTCCTAAAATTGAGAACCCACACTTCATTAACATGGTTCAGTCATTAAGACCAGGATACAGTCCACCCAACAGATGTCGCAGGCAAATTGCTGGATAAAGTGTATGAAAGAGAAATTGAGCTGTGTGCAAAAGATCTAGAGGGTGAAATTGTTAACCTGAGTCTTGGTGGGTGGAGCAATGTCCACAATGATCCTGTTGGACGTGTGTGACCACAGAAGAAGGGAATGTCTTCCTTACAGAAACAATTGACACATCAGGAAATGCACACACAGCAGAATGCTTACAAGAAGTAGCAGTAAAAGCTATAAGAAACTGTGAAAAAAAATTTCAAATGTCTAGAATGCAGCTTGGTCACAGACAATGCTGCAAATGTATCCAAGATGAGAAGAAATTTAAAAGAGTCCCAAGCTAACATCATACGGTTGCAGTGCTCATTTGATGTACCTCCTAGCCAAAGACTTCAGTGTTCCAGAAATAAAGGCTAATGTTGAAATTGGAAAATACTTCCGTAACAACCATTTGCAGCTGCTAACTCTCCCACAAGACGTGCGATGGAACTCAGTAGTGGACTGTTTTGAGCACTATATCAAGAACTGGCCTATTCTGATGACAGTTTGTGAGCAAAATTGTGAAAAAATAGATGGCCCTGATCCAGCCAAAGTTCTCAACATTGGGCTTACGAGAAATGCTGAACACATGCTGAACATCCTGAAGCCTATTTCTGCAGCCTTGAACAAAATGCAGGGAAATAACTGTTTTATTGTGGCCGCTGTTGAAATTTGGAAGGAACTGCGTGAGATCTTAAAAACAGAAATATGCACCAACAGAGTTAAATTACAAGCATTAAAAAAAAAAAAACAAATAGGACAAGCACTATCTGCAGCTCATTTTCTTGCAAATATTCTCAATACTCGGTACCAGGGTCAAACCTTAACTGCTGAAGAGGAGGAGTTAGCTAGGACATGGACATCCAGCAATCATCCCTCTATAATGCCAACTATAATAAACTTCAGAGCTAAGGGTGAACCATTCAAGAAATATATTTGCTGATGATGTTTTAAAGAAAGTCACACGAGTGAACAGGTGGAAGTCACTTAAGCACTTGAATTCAGAGACTGTTGAAGTGATAATCTCACTTTTAACAGCAGTACCTTCTTCTCTTGGTGTAGAAAGTATATTTTCTTCCTTTGGACTAATTCGTTCTAAACTGAGAAATCATTTGGGAGCTGAAAAAGCAGGAGAGCTTGTTTTTCTTTTCCAGATTATGAACAAACAGGAAACTGAAAGTGAAAACGATTGAGTTAGCTGAAGAAGCCAATATTTTAAGTTTCTCATGTTGACCTGACTGATATAGTCAAGTTAATTTTTGTGGTTTTTCTTTGTTAACTAAAATACTTAAATGAAATATTAAAAAATTTTAACAAAAACAATCCTGATTTAAAAAAACTTGACTGTTTAACTACGTTCAAAAATTCATATGCTTGTTTTGTTAAAATTTTATATGTTAGCTGTTGAATACATAATGTTATTGTTTCAGTTAAATAAAACAATTTAAATGTCTGCCTAGTGATGGTCTCCTCCTAATATGGCATGGTAAGAAAATCTTCCAAATATTAATGATTAACCTGGTGAATTGGAGATAGATATTTATGAAGGCATTGGGAGATGAACTATTTCAATTACTTTTGGTAAAGGAAGTAATCAAACATTCATTTTCTGATATAGTTGTAAAACTAATCTGAAAAGTTTTCAAAATAAAACACTTAAAAATGAAACCTACATCTATCTGAGTTGTGGAAAATATGTATTAAGGTTATAACAACCATCAAGAATACACTTTTATCTATTTAACTCACTAGTCAGGAAGACTCAATTTAATCATGATTTAAATCAATTTGATTTAAATCAAATCCACCCTGATTCTGAGCCATTTGGTGGAAGTAATAAAGATCTCAGATAAAATACAGTGCCTTCTCGCAAGCCTTGTGAGGAGCAGACACAGATAATGAAGCAGATCTAAACTGTAGTCTCAGAAACCATAAAGAGAACCCAACTTCTTGGTTTTTTATATATTTTTTTTGGGGGGGGGGGAGCATCTTTGAAGTGTAGTTTAGTTTACTACTAAGCCTCAGCACAGCTGGTACTGGGGGTGGGGGGTTGACATGTGGTTGCAAGATGTCCTCATGACCATCAGAATAAGGCAGCTAAAAACAAAGGGAGTTAGTTTTCAAATACGCCTCATTACAGTAGCCTAAAGATGAAGATGTACAACTTCTATGCTTAAAGGCTCAAGAAGACAAAGTGTAATTCCTAGAATCTTTTACTATTCCTAGACACCATGGTGATGGATACGTTACATATGTAAGCAGTCACCCTCCACTTCAAGATGGCTTCCACTACTTCCTTTCTTCCCCTCAAGGTGCCTCTGAGCTGCACCAATGGCTTTCCTTTGTCTCTACTACCAAATTGAGACCATGAGAAACCACAAGAATCGTTAGTGCTATCACTTTTCTTTCCCCTTTTCTCACCCCCCCCCCCACAATTATGAGCAAAATTACTCCTTACACACTTACATTTTGTGGGTTTTGGGGGGTTGGAAGGAAGGGGAGAAATGCACTGCACAGCCTTAGCCCCCCCAACACACCTTTATGCAAGCATTTACCTGCTTTCAAGCTCTACTTTGTCCTGAACATAAACAGTACATTTGGTTGTGCTAGTTTTAATCCACTTTCCATTAGCACTGAAACAAAATGCTGTCTATGAAAGCACTGCCATAACATATTACTACTCGCTATATGAATCATCCTTATTTCCCCCATTCTGTGCTGCAGACCTGCCTATAACTCAGACCGGACCACAGAAGCAAGGGGGAGCAGGCTGAGCTGCTAGGTTGTAGTTAAAGCACAGGTGAAAGTTTGCACTGTGGGACTCATGCACATCAGTATGTGACCCACCCATGCTGAGTAACAAATGGAAGGGTGTTTTAGAGGTTATAACTGAAAAACAATCACCCCCTTTAAAAAGAAAGCATTCAACCAATTTCCTTGCTTTGTTTGTTTTATTTTTATTACATTGTCCATAACCAAATGTTGACATTTTAATAGAAATGCTGAACTAGACATCAAGGGGAGACACAAACAGTGTGCATTCCCTACTTCACACCAGCATAAGAGTTAAAGTTCTTCAGATGTAGAACAGAAATAGCTGCTCTGACACTAGTACACACTTTAGTATGTTAATGTGCCGGCCACCTTTATAGTAGAGTAAGCAGCAAGCACGAAGAAAATGCTACACTAAGGCAACGTTTTAAACAAGGAAATCTGGAATTCCAGCAGTAGCAACTTCCTAATATTCCAACAAAAAGAGTACAAAACTGAATATACAAGGATGGTGTAACTCTATAGTAATCATGCAAAGAGAACTTCTGAATGGTTAAGAAATATTGAGCTTGGGTTTACTTCTGGCAAGTTAACAGCTGACAAGACAGATATTAGTGCCATTGTGCAACTACAGAGATTAAAATGTAGATAGGGAATCCATTTGAGTGCTATTTAATCCATCTCTACTCTGTTGAACTCCTATAGCAATATATTAATCCTCAAAACTCCTGTGAGATTGGGAAATTTTCTCCATCTTACAGATGGGAAAACAGACAGCTAGCTCCAAGTGTTCACTAATTTTGGTACCTCACTTTCAGGTCACACAACTTGAGACACGAGCATGTTTTTTTAGATATACTGAGCACAGCTCCTAGGACTTCAATTGCAGTTGGTGTCTGACATGTATTTTAAAAAAGAAAAAAAAGTCAGACCCTCAGAGTCAGCTCCCAAAATTAGTACATAGTTGTGACAGACTGAACTCTAGTGATTTACCAAGAGACAAAAGAAACCTATGGCACAGCATGGGCCCCACTTCTATATGAAGTAATAAACCATGTTTCCCTTCTTCCTTGTATGTAGGTACTGCAGGAGTCTCACAATAGCAGGTGAAGTTTAGGATTTAATCACACTTAAATGGCACATTTCCATTTTAGCAACAACTAGCAGTGCTTACCACTTTGTAAGTAATTATATTGTGAAAGTCCTCTTTAGAACAGCAGACTGTTACAGTGGTAAGCGTACAAGGTGTGTCCCATGACCTACTCAACTCTTCTTTTTACAGCACAATTTAATGGGTGTATAGCTCCTTGAATGCATTGCCAGTGGTAGGTTGCCAAAAAACAAGTTCAAATTGTTTCAGATCAGCTGAACACAATAGAAGCGTAACAATTCCATGTACATGAGGGAAATTTGCCCAGTACATACAGATAAACAATTTGAATCAGGCAAATAAGTAGACTATATGCACACAGACTCCGAGAAAAGCCAGTCTATCTTCAAGGCCAAAGTAAAACTTTTAGACTGCTAAGGGAGAAGGGTATACTCCAGTACTATGCCACAAAGTTCAAATATTGATCCAAACATCTCTAAAAGCTTGTGGGGTTTGAAGTGAGCCAAATTTTCTATATTTTTAATTCACATCATTGGGGCACAATTTTTTTCAGTATGGAAGAACTCTTGAATATCTCAGGGACTACCCCTTTCATATTTACATTCACACAACATCCATGCAGTGGCTACAGCAACTGCTTACACAGAAGAGCAATATTAGAAAAGAAGTTAGCTTCAGCTCTTCCATCGCTGGCTTCTATCCCTACTGGACACCTTTTGTTTCTTCTCCAATTCCTCTGATGCAATTACAACCAGCAGCTCCTCTCAGTAGCATCTACTTTTACAGGCACAGGCTTTGCCATGAGACACCTGGCATCTGTAGAAGCAACCAGAAGCAAAGGGGTAGAGCCAATTCCATAAGACCTGCTAGCAGCCTGCAGGGAACCAGCAAGTGCATCAAGAACCACTACTGCTCCACAGTCCCATTTGTGAACCACAAATTTGACAGACACCTGATCTTGGCTTTGGCTCTTTAAGTATTAACAGGATGCAGCTGGCAAGAAAACTGCATACTAGCTTGCAGCCAAAGAAGATAAAATACAGTCAAATAATAAGTTTGCCAAACTGTCACAGCAGAAATGGTAATTAAACAGTATATATAGCAATGCAAGAGGTGAGCACTCGAACAACCTCAGAATGCACAGTACTTTGCTCAAAGAACTCTGCACAGTGAAGCACAATTTCCTGTAAAAGCCTCACAATAAAATAAGACACCCTAATCTTGAAGATTTAGAGGAAAGGGAGGTTACCAAAAATATGCTGAGAAAGAATTTTCCCTTATTGCCCAGTAGGAATATACAAATTTACATTGTGAAGATGACCGCTCATCAGATACAAATCTATGCAGAAGAGAAGCTAAACTTACCAAAAAAAGTAGTATTTTGAAATAAAGGAAACACATTAAATGTGCAGTGCTGGAGCAACACGAACACCAATTCTTAGTTTATAAATGCTTTCCATGCCAAACTTGAGACTATATAACAAGACTTTTAGGCTTTGACAAGTGACATGCTTTTACCATAATCAGTGCACTCAAAATATTTACACAACAGTATGGCTCAATATTATTGTGTTTGATACAGAACTTTGTTTTCAAAAATATGATTTTATTCACAATCTAATAGTTCATTTTTGCAGCAAAATGCTGCCCCCTGCTGCTATGAATCTGGAACAGGTTGGCTATGAGTACCACTTCTGGTCTTCAGCTGTGATTGAGCAATATCTGCTAGGGCACTCTGTATCTTTTCTAGTAGCATATCCCCACGATAAACAACCTCTTCCAGACGGGCAGCTGCTTCATGGTTTTCCTCCTCTAACCGATACAGACTAGCAGCCTTTAAATACAAAAGAAAAGTTAGGGGATTGTGATCACCACATAAGGCAGAGTTTTCTTCAAGGGAATGGGTGGAGAAGTTGTCCATGCCTGTGATGAAACCTAGTAAGACACCCATCTTTAGCTCCTACATCAGTCATTCTCTGCTGGAGTACAAGAATATCATTTATCCATTATAAGTTTGCCATCTAAAAATGCACTCCTTGCCTGGAGATTAAATTCATCAACAAAAATAGATGTTTTGTATCTCATATTGCCAATTTTAGATGAACTCAACTACAGCTTTCTTAACAAACAAAAACCAGAACCTTTGTCCCTACTCAAAAGAGATGAGTAAGGTGTAACACTTTCAGATCTCATGGTGTTAATTAGCAGGGTGGATAAAAATCAATGATTTTTTTTTTTAAATCTGATTTTGAGGAAAAAACTTATCTAAAGATAGCTCATCATGGAATAAGGATTATAAATTCTAATTCTATAGTATGAAACAGTATATTCATGCAATGTTTAAGAAAAGTTTTGTAAATGAGTTCCAATAGTTCATTGATTAGGACCCAACCTTATGGGGTTCCACAGGCTTCTGTATAGATTATTTAGGTTAAACTTTCTATCTACCCAATGGGACTCAATGCTCAGTCTAGAGGATACGATCAGAGATGCTTACTTTTGCAGTTCTCAAACTGTGAATTTGTGTCTCCAGAGGTAACATGCTTGTTAACAGCAAAAGCATTTTAAAAATAAATAAATAAATAAATATATGGAGGTGAGAAACAACAAACCTCAGCCCTATTGTCCCTCTACAAATTTGTGTACACAGAGTCAATCCCTTACCTCTCTCTACAAGCGCAAACTTTCAAAAAGTTCAATGAATAGAAGATTGCTGGGGGCGGAATAGATCTGGACAAGAAAAAGAAGTCTGGAGATAAATGTGAGAAATGAGGGATGTACTGCTTGTTTTCTTAAAATATTACATGTTTGCTGTTGAAGAAAAAAAAACCAGAATACTTAACGATGTTGTTTTAGTTAAATAGAACAATTTAAAATGTCCGTCTGGTGATGTTCTCCTCCTAATACAGCATGGCAAGAAAATCCTCCAAATATTAATGATTAACCTGGTGAATTGGAGATAATTCACCTCCCAATTTACCTTTGGTAAATGAAATAACCAAACAATCATTCATTTTCTGATATAGCTGTAAAACTAATATACAAAGTTTTCAAAATAAATCACTGTTTAAAAATGTATAGTGTGCACCTTCTAAAAATGAAACAAAATGAAATAAATGAAAAATGAAATAAAAAAAGAAATATGAAAAAAAAATGAAATAAAAAAATGAAATAAAAATGATGGTGACATTTGTTTGCAACAACACACCAATTTAAGAATGGAAGTAAATAACAAACAAAAAGCCACATCCAATTGGAAGTGTAACCATAGGACAATCTGACCAGGACTAAACATCTATCCTTGCACAAAGGGGCCATGGAATCTAATCATCACAGGCACTGGTCAAGGTCTTTTTTTGAAAATGTAAATGCAGTGGCCCCTAAAAATCAGGCATAGACACTGCTGCAAATATCAGCTCAGAGGAAAGCATGCTGTCTACTGGGTTATCAAAACCAGTTTCTGTAGTGCCTTGGTTTTCCCAACACAAGTGTCATTAGTGTCAGACATGGCTCAGCTATGAAACATGACAACATCATAATCTGTGGTATGTCTGCACAGAAGACTAAAAAACTATTCAGGTTATTTATATGGACTGTGAAGTTACACTGATGCTATATGGTCTGAGTTTTTAAATGTAACTAATATGTTTAGTCACTACTATAACTAGAGATCTAGCAGAATATAGCACTTTTGTTCAATATCCTATTTATGCTTCTCCAGTTTAGACATGTCTAATCTCTTTTGTAATCTGCATTTATCCTCTGCAACTCTGAGACTATCAACTCATCTCCAAGAACTGAAAATACAAAATTTACTCTTCCCATTTTAAAATTGCTTCAATGTAGCATAGGGAGTTAGGGCTCATCTTTGTACACATACTCACACAAAGTAATTTTAAAAAACACTCAAACTAGGGCTAGGAAGGGCAAGACAGGTGGGCCACCAAGCAAGACTTGTAGAAAGAGATGAGCATTGGAGTAAACTACGTTGGGAGGTAGGACTGATTGCTGGAGAGACCCTAGCACACGGGTTCTCAAACTGGGGGCTGTGATCCCTCAGGGGGTCACGAGGTTATTGCATGGGGGGGGGGTCGCAAGTTGTCAGCCTCCACCCCAAATCTCGCTTCACCTCCAGCATTGGTAATAGTGTTAAATATAAAAAAAAGTGTTTTTAAATTGGGTGGGGGGATTTGCACTCAGAGGCTTGCTGTGTGAAAGGGGTCACCAGTACAAAAAGTTTGAGAACCACTGCCCTAGGAGGAGGCACATGGGCCCTTCTGAGGGAAAAAGGTTTGGGGAAGCAAGTTTGATCTGCTGACCTGCAGGAAGGTTTCCTTGTGGAGCTAAGAAGAGGAAAGAACTGTAACATTTCAGAAATACTGAAAGTCCTTTAAAAAATGAGTGGTCTAGACACAAAGCGGCAGTACCATGTCAGATACAGCAGTTTTAGTAAACTCGCTTGTGACATGCTCTTAGAGAGATTGGATGAAACCTGCTTTGAGAGCCAGAAAACTTGCAAGTTTCTTTTAATAAAAGAAAAACAAAAGGTATATTAAAACAGTTGTGTGTTTAAATAAACTGAAAAAAAACCACATGGCTCTTAAAAATAGTTTCAGATGGTGGTGGAAAGGGCAGTTTCTTTAGGAGCCCCGTGAAAAGAAAAATGAATTTAATATAGCTCAGAGTTCCAAGGTTTAAGTCTTCCCATCCCGCTTCAAGTTTTAAGTTATTCAATGTAATATTTCCAATAAATTAAGCTGTTGATTACAGGTACTTTTTTTGGGGGAAGGGGGGCCCACAGGGGGGAGAGACAACAAAATATTCCCTCGAACTTTTTTTTTTTTTTTTTTTATTAAAGGGAGCTAAGATTATATCCTTTATGCCATCTGTGATTTTGGGCTGGAATATTCAGAGGGGATTAAGAGGGTGGAGATTTTTTTGCTGTGTTTCAAGTGTTTTAGATTTTAGTGATATTCTTACCTGCAAAGCTGCTGTTGATTCTTCACTAGGTAATGAATCTATTAAAACATCAATATCCTTAGCAGTTCGTGCAATCAATGCCGCAAACAACTGAGCATATTCTATAAAAACAAAAATCAGATTATCTATTACAATTTAATTTACCTTTTTAGAGGAGAGCTGTGATAAACTTAGTGCTCACTGAAGGTACAAGTCACCTAGAATTTTACTCTGAATTTCAGAAGATTTAGAATCATAGAATATCAGGGTTGGAAGGGACCTCAGGAGGTCATCTAGTCCAACCCCCTGCTCAAAGCAGGACCAATCCCCAATTTTTGCCCCAGGTCCCAAATGGCCCCCTCAAGGATTGAGCTCACAACCCTGGGTTTAGCAGGCCAATGCTCAAACCACTGAGCTATCCCTGATTTCTAACTCCAATGTATTCTTAAATTTTAAAAACTCTTTCCTGTATTAAAGACAGTGATAATACCCTTCCATCTCAAACAAATCTAGTACATGTTAACGTTCTAAAATTGTTTAAGCTAGGATCAGAATCAATCTAACAAATGGCATTGGAATGGCTGCCTTATTTTGCAAAGAGACAGCTAACTCTTAAGCCAGATACTCCATTCTAGCAGCATATCAAACATTCCAGTTACAATGTGTTACATATTCTGGAGCATCGAAATACTCTAATGTTTCAATTCGTTCCTTGAATTTGGTCATTGTGCTTGTTAAAAAAAGAGCAAGGATTAGATTAGGATAATGCGAATAAATCTGAAATTTATGAAATGTTTACACCAACTTGGTAACAGACCAAGAGAAGGATTCTTAATATGGTTGCTTAAAAGATTTACCACTACAACAATTAACGTTACCACTTAAACTTAAAAATGCTCTTACTTTGTTAATGTACAAATTCACCTGAAAAGCTCAGTTTTCACTTTGTTAGTGACAGGATTTTAATTTAACTTCTAAATAACATGAAAATGTGTGGAGTACTTTCAAAAAGAATATTGCTAGTTTAAAGTCAATTCTGAATGAAGATGTTTTAAATCACATTACAAGTAAAAACGCCAGGTTACTATAGCTGAAAGATTAAGAGGGAGAGCTGTATTTCCTCAGCTTACTTTGTACATTTGCCATACTTTTAGTTATATTCACTGTTTTCCCTGTTTGTGTAGATCTCTCACAGCTGCATGGGAGAGAAAATTTTAATATAGGAAATGGACTATAAAATTCAAGGATAGATGTAATAAGCTATATTTTCAAACTTGATTGTATTTCAAAATGACAATGTTTACTTAAATGTGTACTGTGACATCACCATATATCACCTTGATATAGAAATACTGAAGTTTTACAGATTGTACTTAAGCTTTCAAAGATTATCAGTACCTGAAGATAAGAAACTTACAGGGAGACTGATCTGCCAAGAAAATTTTGACTTGCTTAGAACCTGGACTTTAACCTGAACAGTTACAATATGCTGAAATACAGCTTGCCTTATCTAGAGTTTAAGGTTTAAAGGCATTAGATCATGTCAACTTGACGTGATCTAATGCCTTTATCTTAAACAAAAACTTGGGCTCCTGAATCATCACTTACTAGATACCAGTATCTTTGATTGGACCAGCTGCCACTAGAAAGGCAACAAGCGAAAGCTCTCTTTTTGCACCTTTAACTAGCTCCTCAGAGAGGTCTCCAATATCAGATGGCAAGCCCTTATAGGCCACTGTAGGACTGGCTGACAGTCTTCCAGAACTGCAACAGAGCATCATTTGTGCACTGTGCTAGCCTAAATTGAGATTCCTGAGGTCAGGCCTAATCTGATGCAAGACGTGTAAAATAAAGGGGACTAAAGAGCCATTTAGGCATATAATGTGTCTTAACTATAAAGCCACATTTAAAAATTCTCAAAACATTAGGGCCATTCTGAGCATATAAATAAATATTTTCTAAATATCACATATCCATATGACTGAACTTTCTTCCCAGCTTGATTTGTTTTTCCATCTGAAGTATGATATTAGATCATATATTTGCTTTATCTTTAGAAAAATGACCAGAATTAATCTGTAAAAAAGTACAGATGGAAAAGAGTTTTTGGTAAACTAATATGGATGTTAACTTTTATAACGGCAGACACTAGCGAAAGAAGGTATTATTCCAAAAACATTAAAAGCAAAAACAGATTGATAGCTAGATAAGCTTTATACTCAAACTAATGTAAAATTTCATGAGACTAGTTCATACTTGGTTTGGCTTTTAAAAACAGAAGTTTCCTGAACACTGACTAAGAATCTCCTCATAACCGTGATCCTTATAAAAATGACTGATGTTTGAATTACTAAATCTATATAAAACAAGGACCACGAGACACACACATTTCTGTGCTTAGCTTTGTCAAAAAATATTTCGCGTCTCAATCAATTCACTTCCCTACAGAATGTGCAATTATCCATAGCTTCGCCTGAATCATTACAACTGTTACAACATCTGAAGAAAGTTTCTTACGCCTGAAATTACTTAATTCTAAATTGACACTACCTATTTTACTAGAGAGTAACCATGTTTAGTTAACGGACACAGATAAAACCGACCTTCTGTAGGATTAGCTGGCTGGTCTTTGTTTATCGCTGTCTGAATGTTACTGAAGGAGGCAGGTGGGCCACACTGCTGCAATACCCCAATCGCATTACAAAACTGATCTGCAAGCTATAGACAAGATGAAATATATTTACACAATCATACTATCATTTTAGTCGGCATTTACACTAAAGATAGTCAGTTTAAACTTTTTGCCCCATCAACCATTTCACAGAATTGCACTTCAGTAAATGAAAATGGTTAATCCAAGTCTGTGGTAAAGATCCCAATCCTGCCTTCCATGCAAGTGGATGTCTCTGATTGCACTGGGACCCCATGCCAATTCATGTGTCCACTCCCACAGATCAATTAGCAGGACCAGGGATTAATTAAGATGCTACCATTAGCATACTCAAGTCCAGGACAAAAATTTGGTTCCTAAATCGTGGCCTTTAGCAGCTCAGCCCACTGCAGAGATAACATGCTTTCTCCCATTCCCCTGGCCACATGGATAGGTGCTACCCAACCAGTCACTGAGCCTGGTGAAATTAAGTAGGAAGATTATTGCGATCGGAGATAGACATGGTGTAGTGACATAGAATAACAGGGTTGGAAGGGACCTCAGGAGGTCATCTAGTCCAACCCCCTGCTCAAAGCAGGGCCAATCCCCAACTAAACTCATAACCCTGAGCTTAGCAGGCCAATTCTCAAACCACTGAGCTTCTGGGAGCAACTCCCTGGAAAAGCAGCCCCCCCCAACTCCACACAACCCCACGAACGGACTGCTCTGGCCATTCCGCACACTGGCAACAGCGCCGAGCCCCCCCCCGCTCTGGACGGCGCGAGCTCCGTGCTGGCGGGGACAGGCTAGCTCCGGGGCGGCGCGAGCTAAGCGAGGCGCCCCCCGCGCTTCACAAGGGGAGGGGGCGCGAGAGCAGCCGAGAACGCTTAAAAGCCCAACGGCCTCGGCGGGTTTTTTTTTTTTTTTTTTAAACCGACGCCACTGTTATCCCCGCCCCCGCTCCGACCAGCGCTGAGAGGGAGCAGACGCCTCAGGTTTGCTACCCCGCCCCCGCGGGGCCCAGAATCCCTCCCCCCAGGGCCCGGGAAAGGCTCGGAGCCGGCCGGGGAGATGGAGGGACCGACGCTCGCTCCCCCCAACAGGGCGGGAGCCGACTCGGCCTAACCCCGATCTGAGCCGCTCCAGCCTCACCGAGTTCACCGCGTCCTGCAGTTGCGTTAGCCGATCCGCCATGACGCTGCCCGAGCTCCCATCCCGATTCCCTCCTGCCTATTGGACAGAGCCTAAGCGGGGCCGGGCCGGGCAGCCAATGGGTGCGCTTGGTGTTGGACGGTTGGCCTTGAGGGGGGAGGGGAAAATGGGCGGGGCTTTGCGTTGTTCTCTGTCGGGTCCGACGCCCGGCGGCGGCCACGAGGATGCTTTGGCTGCTGCGGGGTGCGCGCCCCCTGCTGGCTGAGAGGCGACTCGGCAGCTGCCGGGGCCGCCCTCCGGAGTGAAAGGCCAAGGGCGGGGCCCAGGGTCCACGGAAGTAAATGGAAAGAGTTCCGTTGACTTCTATGGGCGTTGGAGGAAGGGGCGGGGTCTGAGTGTGCGGAGTGGTGAACAGCGTCATGTGCTATAAATAGGGACGGAAAGAAGCTGGCCCAGGATTGTTTAAATCCCGCCCCCTAGGAATCACAACGTATTAAACCTTTTTCCTTGACTGGGTTGCAACTCTAAGGGTTTGGACACGAGCAAGACTCTCAGGTCCCGATTCCCTTAGTGACAAATGCAATGCTTTGTGATGCACAATGTGGCCCATTCTGCTGTTTTAGTGGAAGACCATGAGTGTTGAGGAAGCCCCCCCACCGCCCTGCTCTAGGCCAACAGGTAACTCAGGAGGGTGGAAGACCATGAGTGTCAAGGAAGCCCCCCCCCACTCTGGGCCTAGGCTAACCTGAACACTTCTCCCTCCTGAAGGCTGCTGTGTTATACCTTCCGTTTGCTTTTGTTTTGTTGCATAGTTTTGTTTTATCCTTTTTGGTGATTCTTTGTAAGTGTTACACAAATAAAACTCTTCTGCTTCAAAAAAAAAAAACAGTCTTGAGCTAGGATGAAAGCAAAATTGTAGTTCTTATATTGATGCACAGATTTATCATTAATTTGCAGTGTTACCAACTCTCAAGCCCAGGCTTCAGTAGTCTAGTAAACACACCAGACTCTCAGATTAAAAAAAAAAAAGTTTTTACTCTTCATACTCCCAGAGAAAAGTTGGGAAATGGAATGCTTCAGAAAGCACAAGGCAAATTCAAAAACTCCATATTCATTATTTTTAAAATAATCTCACGATTTTTAAGACAACCTCATGATTTTTGTATTATTAGGGTTGGCAAAACTGCTTGAGCATGTTGTTGATAAACTCTTAGTCGACTAGGGCAATCATAGTTGTGCAAGTAGGTACAGAATCTTCAGGCCTGGTCTACACAAGAAAATTAGATCAGTTTAACAACGTGGATCAGGTGTAAAAAATCCACACCTCTGAGCAGCGTGTAATTAAATCAACCTAAATCCCCCTGTAGTTAGCGCTAGGTCAAGCAAAGAATTCTTTCATCAGTCTAACTACCACTTGTTAGGGAGGTGGATTGCTTATGTCCATGGGAGAATCCCTCCCATTGGTGTAGATAGTGTCTACACCAAACCACTAGAGTGGCACAGCTGTAGCATTTATTTAAGTGTACACAAGCCCTTAGAAGTTGGGGATGGAAGTGACACGTTAGGGCCAATGTAAGATTCTTTGCTACTGTATAATTACTTGTGTGTTTTCCAGTCTAGTTTCAGAGGTCTCATGTAATGTGGTTTCCACCTCTTTCCTTGGGAGATGTTTCTATAGCCCATACATTTTACTAAATAAGAAACTTTTCTTGATATTCAGTTTACATTTTATCTATTTTAATTTCTTCTCGTACTCCCACTTTTACTCCCTTGAACTATTATAAACAATTCTTTACTAGCCTTGGAGTTTACTCCCTTCAAATATTTGTAGAGTGCTATCACAAATCCTCCTTGGTTGTCACTCAAGCAACACAGCTTCAACATTTTCCCTCATAAATCAGTCACTCTGGATCCGTGATCATTTTCTTCTTTTCTGAACTCCCTTCAAACTATCAATATCTTTCTGGTAATGAGGTGCACAGAACTGAACACAAATATTCAGCGCAAAACTACAATGACCTTGTTTGCTTCCACATTACATTGTCTAACTTGTCTAATTTGCAGTCTGCCTTCACTAGCTACTATGTGCAAAAGCATATAGCAGAAAAAAGTGCTGTACCTTAAATGCAAAGCTATCATTTCCAACTGAGACCAAGGAGAAATGTTGTATCTACAAATAATATTGAATACCCAGCAGCCTCTGTGAGTAGAAAATTTTTTGGAATAACATTACATGTTCTAATGACCTGAGCAAAAGACTGAGCCCCAGAAATTCCTGATTTTGAACCTGCGTGCTAACCCTTAGTCCCAGATCCTCAACAGTATTTAGGCATCTAACTTCCATTGATTTCAATGACAGTTAAGCATCTAACTACCTCTTGGGCCTCACTCCCTCTGTGGCTTTAGGCAAATAATTCTGGGCCTGATCCAGTGTCCATTGAAGTCAGTGGAAAGACTCCTGTTGACTTCAGTGGGCATTTGGTTAGACTCATAGGCCAGCATTTTTAAACTTTAAGCTGAGCCCCTCCTCTGAGTTACAATTTTTGGCCATGCCCCCCCCGGCCCACACAAAAATAAACACATGCAAGGCTGGGTGCCCTGCTGAGGTGACTCGGCGGTGGTCCTCTCACCTCAAACCCCATTGCGTGGGGCTGGCCCAAGCCCTGCAGCACAGGGCTGGTGTTCCACTCCCCCACCCTGAACGTTCCTGCACGCCCCCCCTAGTTTCAAAACCTCTTCCACAGGCCCTGACCCAGCAAAGTAGTTAAGCACATGCTCTGCTTTAACCATGTGAGCATGCTTAACTGCTTTGCTGGATCCTGGACTTAATCTCTCTCCCTAAATTTCCCCTTCTTTGAAATGGGGATGATAATGCCTAACTCACAGGGGGATTATGAGGATTAATTAAGTGGTATGTCTTATTTATATATTATCTGACTTTAAATGAATTTGGTTTAAAGCAAGGATGATTGAAGTTAGGATTCCTGTCAAGACTTTTTATCATATTTGTATTATAGTTCATTTTTCAGTAAAGAAAAAAATACATAAAATAAATGAGAAAAAGAAATTTGAGGTTCCACAATATAGAAAAATGTTGCATTTGTAATGTTTCAAAACGATCTGTTAACCTGTTTTAATTTAAATTTTGATCTTTTTTAACACTGTTACAGTCTGATGAAAAATATCTGGATTCTAGATATCTTTTAAAAAATCTATTACTTTCTTGACAGTGAAATAAAGCAAATTGCTACTGTCTTATGTGTGACTTAGGCCCAGCTCCTCAGAGGTACTGAAATCAATGGGAGTTTGGTGCCTAAATACCTTTGGGGATCTAGGCCTTACTTCTGTAAAAAAGATGGGCCTGATCTTCCTTTCACTTACACCATTGTTAAATAGAAATGGTAATAATTTCCACATGCCATGTGCTTTGAATGGGAAAAAATAAGGAAACTATCAAAACAAAGTACTGATATTACAGAGTAGTTCTTTTAGTTAATGTACATAAGTACAGGTTAGACACACATTTCTCAGGGATGGCCTAGGTATACTTAATCCTGCCTCAGTGCAGGAAGCTGGACTAGAGGACCTCTTGAGGTTCCTTCCTGCCCTACCACTTCTACGATTTTATCAGTTCTGAGAAAGGGCTGCGTCAAGGAAAAGCAAGCATATACTGATGGCTTTCTTATTTTAAGTCAGGTTAGCAGATAAAAGATACCAAAGTTGTGCAAATCAATTCATATTTGAACTTTAACTTTGTCTTGGCCATTCAGCAGTTGGCCATGCCAGATTCAATTGCCATTAAAAGTCAGTGGGACTTAAGCACACTAAGGAGCAAATGTTGTCTGAGCACTGACAGACGTGGGCTAGTGGGTTTGAGTACTGGGCTATGAATAAGAAATTATTTAGGCTATGGCTACACTAGCTGTGCCACTGTAAGCTCTCTAGTGTAGCCACTCTAAGCCAACCGGAGAGAGCTCTCTCGTCGACTTAATTAATCAACCCCCAGTGAGCAGCGGTACCTATGTCGGCAGTAGAAGCTCCCCCACTGACATAGCGCTGTCCACACCAGCGCGTAGGTTGGCATAATTTATGTCGCTCAGACGGGTGGCATAGTCACACCCCTGAGGGGGAGAAGTTATTCCAAAATAAGTGGTAGTGTAGACATAGCCTTAGTACTCATGCCATCTCTGGCTTTGGGCAAACTACTTAACCTCTCTTGGGTCATTAACTTTAAACGTCAATGTTAACACTACCGCCTATGAGGATTAATTTATTTTCTGCAATGACCTTCAAAGAAGAAAAGTGCTGAACAATATTTTTAACCTTTTGTCTCTAGCACTGAAGCTGCAATGAGCTCCATGCAGGCAGACCCTGATGCACCTTTGTGGACCTCATTGGGAGTAGCCATTGCAGAGCTCATTGCAGTATCAGCCCTTCTATTTGTATTTTAAGTTAAATTTTGAGTTTGCAGCTTTAGAGGAGGTTTGAGGTTTGAGGAGTTATTTTCAGACTTTGTTATGTTAGAATTGGATTAAGGTGCTGGGGAGGGGAGGGCTGATATCATTGTGACACTCTATACCTCGGGAGGAGCAACCTGTAACCCCCATATTCATCATTTATATATAATTATGGTATTTCATATAAAGCATGCCATATGAGGTATCAGGGGAAAGGTTATGATCCACTGAAAGCCATGGTTCTATCTAAATATGTATATTATTAATGCATATGAAGTTATGAAATTGTGTTGTATGGTTGTCACTAAAACATGCTGTGAGTTGGGGAAATGTCCAGATATTAGATCCCCAGAGATAAGGACAAGGGAGCTAACCAACACCAGGGCAGGTGTTGAACAACCATCAACAGCCATTGTCCAGCAAGGGAGCTACAATGCAATGATGCACTTGCACAAGGCCACATCGGGGGAATTGCTCAACCTCGCCTGGTGACTCAGCAATGCCCATCAGAGATGCCTGGACTTGTGTTCTCCAAGCACATGGACTAAGGGCATAAAACAGAACACAGTAGCCACATGCTTGGCCTTTTCTCCTCCCCCGCCCATGCTGCAAGCAGCAAGGACACTGAGAAGACTGAAAACTCCAACAGAGGAGACTGGTCCAGGTTTCAAGGGTGAAACCTGTGTACTATGAACTGCAATATCCAGTGGGGTGTGAAAAACTGCTTAATCTAGATGTTGCCCAGTCTAATAGGGTTGAGTTTAGACTGCGTGCTTATATTTTCTTTTCTTTTGGTAACCACTCTGACTTTTACTATCACTTAAAATCTATTTTTTGTAATCAATACACTTGTTTTACTGTTTATCTTTACCAGTGAGTTTGCCTGAAGTGTTTGGTAAATCTGCTCAGGTTTATGAAGACTGGTGTATATCCACTTTCCATTGATGAAGTGGTGAACCAATTAATAAACTTGTACTGCTCATCTTGAGCAGTGCAATATGATATATTCCTGAGGTACAAGGCTGGGAGCTAGGGGGATTTGGCAAGTACCTTTCTCTGTGTGATTCATGAGTGGCTCTGGTGTGGGGGTTTTCAAACTGATCAGTTCAGCACTTGAGGTTAAAGGCAGTTTGATGCCTTTGTTAGTATTTTAGAGATGTGAGTCTGGAGCACCCGCCATTAGTGCATAGTGCACACCCTAGGTTTGGGGCTCCACATGTGGTTGTGTTGAGTGATAACAGCACTTGGAGGGGGTTGCTGCTTGTCACTAGCAAAGCATTGTGAGAGACAGCCCAGGCTGGAGAGTTAAGGGGGCACAGCAATCCCCCAGTCCTGGGCTGCACCCCAGGCATCCTGTCAAAATCATGATGGATCCTTACCTTAGCATGTTAATATAGCAGAATTTGGCTAACAGAGACAGTGTCATGGGCAGAGACAAATCACGATAAACAGCCATCCCTACTGACAAAGACTTCAATCCTCCAAACACTTTTATAGGACTTGTCTATACAAGAAAGTTGCACCCCTAAGGTATACATGTAAACTGTTAATAATAACACAGTGCAAACTTCTGTTATTTCAGTTTGAGTGTTTATTTTTTCTTTTGTTTAGCTTGAGTTGAGTGGGAAACAGTTAAATTAAGCCAAAACAAGACACTCAAACTAAAATAAAAGTATCCATCCAGGGATTTGTATTGCTTTAGTTATAATAGTACTCCCAACCTTCAAAACATTCAAACACAAATAATCATAAGCTTGGCTTAAAAATGACTAGAATTTAAAAATAATAAATGTGATCTTTTAACCTGTCATCTGTTTCCTGATCCTTTAGTGTGTACTTGAGTCACATTTTCAGACTTTTCTCCACACCCATAAAGGCTAGAAACATTTCTGTTTCAGATGAAGTCTGAGATCCCCACATAACAACATGCCTCTAGGATCTGGGGCTTTAAGAAAACCACAAAATATTTGAGACTTGCGGTAAAATGACAAAAGTTGGTGATACTGCTATGTCATTTCAAAACCGAGGTTGGTGCAACTTTCCCATGCTGACCACGCTTTAGATGGGAACCTTGTCACAGCAGCTGTTACTATGTGCCTACAGAGCCTAGCACAACAGAGCCCTGATCTCAACAGGCCTCTAGGCACTGGTGTAAGGCAGATAAATAATATCTGTGACAGCTAGACATTCCTGAGACAGTGAGACATTCAGTGCCAACATTTACCTTAACACAAACCCTAATGATGAGACCTGAAAATCACTGACAATGAGTATCAGCGGGTAGCCGTGTTAGTCCCTAGCCACAAAAACAACAAGGAGTCCGGTGGCACCTTAAAGACTAGCAGATTTATTTGGGCATAAGCTTTCGTGGGTAAAAAACCCACTTCCTCAGATGCACGGAGTGAAAATTACAGAAAATTACTGACAATGAGCTGCATAAACAATACAAAAGGGGAGCCCGTCCTCCATTGGTTCTGGATGATTAGTTTTTGTCCCTTGCAGAACTACTGCCCGACACTCTCGAGGCCCGTCGGGTGCACCGTTCAGCAGGAGTAGCCCCGGCACAGCTCCGGGGCGCCCATACTCTCCTGGGAACTTGGCATCTCCCGCTCTCTAGCCCCAGCTGCTCTTCCGCCCGCGAACCAGCGAGAGCGAGCGAGGCGCTCGCCGCGGCCGCAAAGCAAAGGGCTGACGGCCGGAAGTAGGAGCCTTCGCTGAGCCTGCCGGTTAGAAATGGGGGCGAGCGGAGGCGAGGCCGGCTCGGGTTAGCGTCAGGGCGCATGGGGCTGGCCCCCCGGGCTGCCATGAGGGGCAGAGTGAGAGCCGCCCGCGCCGCGGAGTGAGCGTCTCGCGAGCCGCCCTCTCGGGGAGCCCTTCCCTCGCCCCGCCTCGGGCTCGGCGGGGGATTTTCCAGGCGCAATGTGGCTCCCGCGCTTCTTCCCCAGCACCTTGCTGGTCTTGGGGCTCGCTTGCAGGCGTGAAGCCTTGGTCAGCGCCGGCGCGGGTAAGCTGCAAAGGGGGGTGGGAGGGAAGGAGAGAAAGGGTCCCCTCTGGCCTGGACTATGGGAACACCGCCCCCGGAGCAGAGGCACTCTCTGGCTTGAAATGGAAAGCTGGCTCCTCTTTCACGTCCGCTCCGTCAAAACAAGCGTGCCTGTGTTTAAAAACAGAGCGCTGGCCGCTTGTTTGCCCTTCTTGGCTATTTCTGAGCCGTGTTGGCCAAAGGTATTTTCATCAGCAGGTGGACACCTCGGGATTGTTCGCCCCACAAATAGCCGGGGATCATCTCTCAGGCTGCAAAGGTGATCCTGGATCACAGGTGCGAGAGGCTTCAATGAGCTGCAAATAAGGGGTGGCCTAGGATAGTTGGTCAAGATTCCTAATCATTTCTCTGTCCTGGGGTGGCCGTGTGGCTTCTTGGGATCTTTATTTATTTGCAAATAGCGTTTGAACAGCTGTCAAAGTGCTTCGCACACCAGAATGCATTCTACACAGAGGGGAATTGGCATGAGTTGGGTTGGTTACCAAAATCAGGAGGTTTGCATAAGCTGCAAAGTGATCATGAGCACTATAGGCTTTAAAGGAGCATGTCATGTGTTTCCTGGGTCAGGGCTCTGTCATATGTTTCGGCAACAGTGAGGCTTTTTTCCTGCCGTGAACAAGTATTTCATTGTCGAAGGGAGGATCTTAATAGCACTATGGCTAGCCTGTAAGCAACAGTAACGTACTTCTCCTGGAGGGCATGACTTCATTGAATGGTAAAACAGAGCACTCTCAAAACTGGTTAAAACAAAAAATAAGAAATTGAACAACTACTGGTATGGCTCCCTCCTTGAAATATGTGCAGTTTCATTCAAACTGTTGGATTGTGATGCACCATGAAGGTTGGACAGTGTGTGTTTGAATAATAGATGTGGAAAATAAAGGTCCATCGGGTGGAAGCAATCTGTTTAATGCAACGATGCTGCTGAAATCTTATAAAGTTCTAGTTGTAACAAAATTTTCAGTATGAAGAGATGTATTTATTCACAGCACTATAGTTTGAGGCTATATTAGCATTGCCATAATTTATCCTTCTTTTCCCTGATTCATAAACTAAATGACAGTCTGGATACACTGGACTGAAACTTGCCACGCAAGATCTTAATGCAAGAAATGTTTTTTTGGATGGTTCCAAACTTCTGATAATATCGGTCTGTTCTAAGAATTGTAGAACTTGATTTTAATCTCATTTTGCTGACAACTAGTAAACAGTGTGGCTTGTGTTTTAACTTGACATTTCTCTTTCAAAAGCACTAAGTTGTGCAAAAACAAGTGTTAAGCAACATACATGAATTCTAGTACTACATATATGGTTAATTCAAGCATATGGACTATTCTAGATCAGTGTGTCACCATGTTGAGTCAATGGACAGTAGAGGTTTAGAGAAACTGATTAGTAGATCTGTGGTGTGTTGGTTTTTTTTTTGTAAAGCTTGCAAAGTGTTGATCATCTTTTTGTTAATGATCCAAGAAATAGCCACGACTATGAAGCAAACTGTTCTAAAAGCCTGGTTCTTGAATCTGATGATTCCAAAATAGTTCAGCAGTGCAATGTCTTTATATTGACATAAGTTTGTAGTGTAGACCAAGCTTTAGTGCAGGGGCTGGCAAACTTTTTGGCCTGAGGGCCACATCGGGTTTTGGAAATTGTATGGAGAGCTGGTTAGGGGAGGGGAGCGTGGCTTGGCCTCCTGCCCTCCGCCACCCCATCCAACCCCCCCCTCATTCCCGACTGCCCTGCCGGGATCCCTGCCCTCATTCAACCCCCCTGTTCCCCACCCTCTGACCACCCCGACCCTTATCCACACCCCTGACCCCCCGCTCCCTGACCCCTTACCGCGCTGCCTGGAGCGCTGGGGTGCTACAGCCGTGCTGCCCAGCTGGAGCCAGCCACACCACTGCTCACCACAGAGCACTGGGTCAGGCCGGGCTCTGCAGCTGCGCTGCCCCAGGAGCTCGCAGCCCCGCCGCCCAGAGCATTGCACCGGCTGTGCAGTGAGCTGAGGTTGCGGGGGAGGGGGAACAGCAGGGGAGGGGCCAGGGGTAGCCTCCTGGGCCAGGAGCTCAGGGGCCGGGTAGGAGGGTCCCACGGGCCGTAGTTTGCCCACCTCTGCCTTAGTGTCTCTGTGTAGACATAGACAACTTGATGGAGTGTTGGCCTTAACTCTGAATTTCCTTTTTACCTGATCTTTTACAGTGGCTAAGGCACTCTACTACAGTCCTGAAGGTTATGAGTTTGAGTCATGTTCCATCTTGCACTGAAAGGCCCCCTCCAGTTCACCCAGCTGCAAAATGGATACCTGGTCCATGGGGTTAGGGATAGTCAAAGGTAGTCTGATGTGACACTGGCCACATCTCTCTCCCTTGTGGACTGTTGGCTATGAAATTGACTTGCCTTCACCACATCAGTCCGATGGTTTGAGGGAACTTTGACTTTGATTCTTACAACTTTGCTTTAAATTTAATATTGTTTAGTAAAGCATAGAAAATATTTGGCAACAAGGTACTTCCAGCCCTTGTCATATGTAATAAGATTTTAGGCCAACATTTAAAAAAATTATATATTTGGTACTCAACTTGAGACACGTGGAGTCTCCTTTTCTCCCTCCCCTTGGAGATGCTGAGCTGAAGTCAGTTGGGGGTGTGCTTCTGAAAATCAGGCCCTGAATATCTCAAATTGGGCACCTAAAATTAGTGAGCACTTGTGAAAACCTGGGCTGAAGTGGATTGAATCCCTGTGTTTGTAAAATGCTGGCAGTGACTTCCCTTCTCACCCTAAAGAGACCAGAGGAAGAGGTCTGTTTTCACACTTTTTATGGTTATGTGTTCTTGTTGGTTTCCGCAGTACATTTAAGTGGGGAAACAGCAAAAGTGATACTGAGCTAACGCACTTCCCCTTGGAGGATGCCTGGCTACTGTTGCAAGGCAGACCTACATTTATATAAAGCTGGTCAAAAAATTTAGGAAACTCTCAACCAGCTTTAGATAAAAAACATATTTAACACATCTATGACCAAACACTTTAATTTACATATCAGGTTTACTTTAATAATCCACTTGGCTGGGAATATCCAGTGGCTGTTCATGTGCTTTGTATTAACAAAAAGAAAAGGAGTACTTGTGGCATGCATCCTATGAAGTGAGCTATAGCTCACGAAAGCTTATGCTCAAATAAATTGGTTAGTCTCTAAGGTGCCACAAGTACTCCTTTTCTTTTTGCAAATACAGACTAACACGGCTGCTACTCTTCAACCTTTGTATTAACAATATATCTTTTGAGTTTGGAGGAAGTGGCTGAGTTTTCTTTGCTAGCTCTCTAATTAACCCTTTCAAAAGTATATTGGCTTATGAAAGGAGTTAGGTGGGTCCGATCTGTGTCCTTGCTAATGCATTATAGGATGTGTTTGACTATCTAGTTTCTAATACTCCCCTTGTAATCTCTGCTGAAATTCTAATTCTGCACAGCAGTACGACTGGATGAACACCACCAGTTTGGTACAGGAGACTTTAGGCTGTCCTATTTCATAGGGATTCTCTCTTTCCTCAAATGGAAGAACACAGTTGTACTTGCCTGGCACATTATGGCATGGCACAGCACTACAACAGTCGTGTTTATGGTGCAGATAGGGTAATAGTGCCTTTGTAACAAAGTGAAAGCTTTGTGTAATCTATGCTGTCCTCTAGTTTCAGGGAGCCAGTTAAATTCCACCTGTGCTAGGTCTCGTAACTGACTTGACTCCCTTTCCAGGGTCTGCTATAGTTGCAGTGTATTTGGGGGCTTGTCAGTGGCCCTTCCTTATGCTGATAGTTCCTGCACATAAAATGCCACCATATAAAAGGGCCCTCTAGACCGTCTTAAAGACTTGGAGTCCCTTTTGACATTTAAGAGTAAAAGGAGGAACTATAGAGGAGTGGTTGGGTTTCCCCTATCCTTTTATTTGCTGAGTCAATATGGTTCTGCTGTGAATGTGGTTCCTTGATTGAGAAACTTTGTATGGAATCATTGAGACAAACATGGAAACAACTCAAGGTAATTATTGCTTAGTGGGGAAAATTGGGCAATAGTGTGATGAGGGAAAGTTGAATGGCTTGGGGGAGTAGTCTGGTAGCCAAATACAAGTTTTTGGGAATACCTTGTTTTAGTGTACATATAGTGTTGGTTTGTTTTTTTTTTTTCTTGTGGATTCCGAATTGAAAAACCCTCAATTCTAAAAAACGGCCTGATGACCCCTTGTCACTGCTTAGCACTTAATTCCACCCCACTCCTGATTCACAAGCAAGATGACAGTGATACCCCCTTTCACAGAATTTCAATTTTTTTAATAAACTTCACACTAATTTTGTTATGGAACATAACATATGTACCCTTCTAGCTAATTTATCTCTGTATTAGTGTGTGTATAAGGATTATATCTTACTAGTATGCTCCCTCCTCTCCCAGAGACACAAGGCACTTTCTTGTTCTCTGAACTTGCTCACTTAAATTCTCACATACTCACTCCTGAGAAGCAGTTTTGAAATATTGGACAGTTTTAGACATTAACAGGTTAAAAACAAACACATGGGGCATGAAAACAGCTGATCATGTTCCAGCAATATGGAATGGTATGTCAAAGTCAGATTCAGGACTCACATAATTTGTCAGACCACTCTGTTTATTAACAAAGTGCTTTGCCAATGCACCCAGATGTGAACCCCTCTCTGAGGCTAAAGATAACTTATTTATACAGCTAAGCCAAAGCCAATTTAACATAAGAGACAAAAGGAAGCAGAAACTGACAAATATACATACATATCTTATTTGCATACTAACGTTTACCAATCTCCTAGCTCAGTAGGAGCTCTAAGTTAATTAGTTTGAGGACCCATTGTCTCACACTCCTCTTCCTGACAACTATATTTCAACAAACCCTTCAAGTAACATTTCTTTAATGAATTATAATTTCAATATAATTCATTCTACTTTCACAGGTATATGCAATGACATGTACTTTGAAACCATCTTCATGAGGCAGAAATGCAAGAGATCCATGAAGAAGAAATCAAATCAAGGATTGCTGCAGTTGCAAGGGACAGAGAAAGCATTAATAAGAAGCTAGAGCTGTGTATTGATCCCTTAAACCCCACTAAGCACCCAGAGGCAATAATAAACATGGTCAGTGGTAGAGTGGTACTGCTATCCATCAGTGTAGATGACATTTACAATTGGAATTCACCAAATGCAAGAATTTGAACGTAACTGGTCCACAGGGTTCTGTACACCGTACCAAGGATAGCAGAGCCACTGGCAGGGACAAAGCATGTACAGGTTTGTCCAACAAAGGAATTTGACACTTGCCTACAAGCAAGTTCACGAGAGGTTGACATGAAGAATATTTTGTCACATGAGTTGGTTCCTGTACCGATGTCAAATGTTCTCGGACGCTGGTGACATGAGGCTTTCCAAGACTAAGTGTAAGCTAAAGAACCAGCTGCAGATAGAGGTGTCAACTAGACATACTTAACAAGACATCACCTGTATAGTCATTGACCGTTCCACTTCTTTCAGTGGTATGCTGGCCAGCAAGTGATATTCAAGGACTTTGTGTCCAATTTCTGAGTCTGCACTGAACACAAGCTAGCTGCAGGTGACGTAACCTTGTCTTTGAAAAGTACAAAGTCCTCATCACAAAGAGTGTCACAAGATCTAGCAGAGCTACGGAAGCAAGCAGGGTGCATCAGCTGAGTGCAAATACAGAGCTACTGCCACAGAAAGTTGTGGAAACTGATGGAAACTGGAAACAAGAAACAGTGGATTAAAATCATTTCTACAGAACTCCATTCAAGACAAGAATTTTGACCAAGAGAACCTATTAGAGCACAAGGTAGTCATTGCAGGTAGAGACACACCCCAGTTGAAGTAAAGAAGAAGGTGTGATGATCAACAGGGAAGATATGGCCACCTGAGGAGTTGGACAACCTCCTAGTAAAACAAATGATGATGCAAAAGAAAATCCAGTGGGAATATCAGTATTGTGTATTTGTTTTACTGATTTATTTTACTCTTGCATCATCACCTTGAACAGGGCCTAATTTCTTAAGTGATTAAGGACTCTCTAGCTTGAGAGAGAGCTGTAATAAACATTCATGCTGCTGCAGAGCAACACTAGAACATTGTGCCTGGACTGTTAGCTGTCCTTGTACCCTTGGGCAGTGATGCAGTACCATCCTATTTTGGCCTTGCCACTGTGTTGAAGATTCTGTGAGCTGGTGACTCCCTCTTTCTGCTGGCTGACATCAGTGCAGCAATACCTGATGGCTTTGAACTGGCAAACAAACTGTGCCACCATGTCAGAAGCATGGGAGAAATAACGTGCAGTGAAAATTGGTAAAGGTACCATGTCAACACCAAAGCTCAGCTCCCTACCACCACCAGCTGAAGCGTTTTATAGAAGATGAGCACATCTTCAGGCACAAGTATGGGAAACGTGCTTTGGGGTATTAGGTTAAGGTATTACTATAATTTAAACAAATATATATTTTGAATGTTTTCACATTAAAAAGTGTTCACTAGATGAATTGAGGATTAAGGTTCGTACTGTACCCGCCACCTCCTGCCTCATATACTTGTATTATTCATATACATATTGTGGCAAATTGCCGGCACTACTTTGATGGGTCTCGTGCTTTCTCTTCTTGGGGAGGGTTCAGGGCACTGTTTCTCACCCCTGAACTGGGGTATTAACTGCCCCACTAGTGTCCTAGAGGAGGGGAGTGGAGAGGGAGGGACCCGGGCCTGCCCTCTACTCCGGGTCCCAGCCCAGGGGCCCTAGGGATGGCAGTAAACCACTTGAACTAGCAGTTCCTTTCCCTGGTCTACTTCCCTCTCCTGCCCTTCAGCTTGTGGGGCTTCCTGCGCTCCCTCTGCACAAACCAGGTGTGCCTTTACCTAGGGTCTTGGTCGTCTTAGCCCACCGCAGCACTTCTCCAAACTGCTCTCTGCTTCGACTCCTCCAAACTGCTCTCTAATCCAACATCAGTCCACTCTGCTTCAACTCCTTCCCTTGTCTGATTGAAGCAGGGGGGTTTTATCAGGTGACTGGCTTCACGTGCTTTAATTAATCTATAGCAAACTTTCTTCCCTATACAGGGAATAAGGCTCCCTTCTAATGCTCTCCTGCTGCCCTCTGGCCATGCTGTATCACAATATTAATGATATTGCAAATATTACTACATGAAATGCATGTATTAACAACTCTTGCGGCTTGTTTATTGTATGCCCCAAATAATGTGTGAACACCTGATGATGGGTGGAGTGGCAAGGCAGGGATGAAATGTCAATCGGTCCTTTTTCAGTCTTTTTGATTATGATGTCAGAGTTGTTTCTGAGGCTGTGGATGGCATTGTGTTCTGCACGGCTGAGGTTATGGGGCAAGCGATGCTGCTTTTCCACAATTTCAGACCGTGCATATCGATTGTCTGGCTATGTAGACTCCCTCCTCAGGCCCTACGCTACCAGCACTCCCAGCTATCTTCGAGACACCACTGACTTCCTGAGGAAACTACAATCCATCTGTGATCTTCCTGAAAACACTATCCTAGCCACTATGGATGTAGAAGCCCTCTACACCAACATTCCACATAAAGATGGACTACAAGCCATCAGGAACAGTATCCCCGATAATGTCACGGCAAACCTGGTGGCTGACCTTTGTGACTTTGTCCTCACCCATAACTATTTCACATTTGGGGACAATGTATACCTTCAAATCAGCAGCACTGCTATGGGTACCTGCATGGCCTCACAGTATGCCAACATTTTTATGGCGGACTTAGAACAACGCTTCCTCAGCTCTCGTTCCCTAATGCCCCTACTCTACTTGCGCTACATTGATGACATCTTCATCATCTGGACCCATGAAAAAGAAGCTCTTGAGGAATTCCACCCTCATTTCAACAATTTCCATCCCACCATCAACCTCAGCCTAGACCAGTTCACACAAGAGATCCACTTCCTGGACACTACTGTGCTAATAAGCGATGGTCACATAAACACCACCCAATACCAGAAACCTACTGACCGCTATTCCTACCTACATGCCTCCAGCTTTCATCCAGACCACGCCACACAATCCATTGTCTACAGCCAAGCTCTACGATACAAACGCATTTGCTCCAACCCCTCAGACAGAGACAAACACCTACAAGATCTCTATCAAGCATTCTTACAACTACAATACCCACCTGCTGAAGTGAAGAAACAGATTGACAGAGCCAGAAGAGTACCCAGAAGTTACCTACTACAGGACAGGCCCAACAAAGAAAATAACAGAACGCCACTAGCCATCACGTTCAGCCCCCAACTAAAACCTCTCCAACGCATCATCAAGGATCTACAACCTATCCTGAAGGAGGACCCATCACTCTCACAAATCTTGGGAGACAGGCCAGTCCTTGCTTACAGACAGCCCCCCAACCTGAAGCAAATACTTACCAGCAACCACACAACAAAACCACTAATCCAGGAACCTATCCTTGCAACAAAGCCCGTTGCCAACTGTGCCCCCATATCTATTCAGGGGAGACCATCATAGGGCCTAATCACATCAGCCACGCTATCAGAGGCTCGTTCACCTGCACATCTACCAATGTGATATATGCCAGCAATGCCCCTCTGCCATGTACATTGGCCAAACTGGACAGTCTCTACGTAAAAGAATAAATGGACACAAATCTGATGTCAAGAATTATAACATTCAAAAACCAGTTGGAGAACACTTCAATCTCTTTGGTCACTCAATTACAGACCTAAAAGTGGCAATTCTTCAACAAAAGAAACTTCAAAAACAGACTCCAACGAGAGACTGCTGAATTGGAATTAATTTACAAACTGGATACAATTAACTTAGGCTTGAAGAAAAACTGGGAGTGGATGGGTCATTACACAAGGTAAAACTATTTCCCCATGATTATTCCCCCCCACCGCTCCCCCACTGTTCCTCAGACGTTCTTGTCAACTGCTGGAAATGGCCCACCTTGATTATCACTACAAAAGGTCCGTCGTGTTGCCCCCCCCCCCCCCCCGCCGCTCTCCTGCTGGTAATAGCTCACCTTACCTGATCACTCTCGTTACAGTATGTATGGCAACACTCATTGTTTCATGTTCTCTGTGTATAGAAATCTCCCCACTGTATTTTCCACTACATGCTGAAGTGAGCTGTAGCTCACGAAAGCTTATGCTCAGATAAATTTGTTAGTCTCTAAGGTGCCACAAGTCCTCCTGTTGTTTTTGTGGATACAGACTAACACGGCTGTTACCCTGACCTGCTATGTGAATTTGGGCAGATAACTTCACCTGTCTGTTTCCCTCCCACTTTTGTCTACTTAAACAGAAAGCTCTCAAGGACAGGGACTGTCTCTCTGTCTGTGTGTGATACCCTAGCTCTAGCGCCGTGGGGCCTCAATCTCAGCTGAGCCCTCTAAGTGGTACTGTGATACCTATATTCAATACAGGGAAGGCTGCAGCAACACAGCGAAGTGGTGGTGCAGGCTATTTAGTGATCTGTGGGTGGAGGACTTCATTCCCCGGGCTGTCAGTGATACTTTTCACCAGTACTAAGCTTCCCTGAACTTGTAAAAATTGTGTATTAAACTGCCCATGGCTTAAATGTGTATTTTTATGCCTTTGTACACCCTGACATGTAACTGAGAACTTGTCATGTAATGGTGAGGGATTCCTAAATAGGCTGTTTCTTTTCCATTCATCACTTGTTGACGCAACCAGTAATGCTGTACAAGCAGAACACGTGCCTGCTTGGGATGACAAAATAATTAGAGACTTTTCATACGAAACTTTTAATAGGAAACCTCAGAGTAAGGAATCTTCCAACTTGATATAACTGAATGGGAGGGAAAGATGTCCTCTCTAGTACCTCTATTTTGGCTCTCCTAAACTCTTAATAAAGGATGCATTTCATTTCTAGGTGTTACCTTTGGCTGTTTACAAGCCTCTGTATAAACAAGTTGATCAGGTTTCGGTGGACAGACAGATCCTGGACACTGCAGAACAAACACCTCAGTTGGCATCCTTTTGGGGATTTTTGCATAGGCATGGAAACTAAACTGTCCCCTCAGCTTGCTTAATGAGAGCCAAGATGAATTGAACCCTTATTCCCAGCGCTTAATTTGTAAGGAAGAGATGCCAGGACTCAAACAATTTTTATATATTCAAATTAATGCACCAAGCCCAGAGATGCCAGGGATATGAACTGCTAAGCCTAGAGGTGCCGGGGCTCAGCACTGGCAAGTCCTGGCATAAATTGAGCCCTGCTTGTTCCTGTAGTTTGGGGCTGAGGCAGTGAAAAGCTTTCACTGGCCATACTTTGTTTGTACTGTGGCTAAACAAGAGTTAATTTTCCCATAATCTTTTTCTTTTGTGTGAATTTAGTACCTGTGAAAAATTCCTCTTTGATTCTAGATTTTGAAACTGCTCGATTCTAGAAGGCAGCTTGTTTGTTTGTTTGTTAAAAGCCAAAGACCAAGAATCCATTTTCTTTTCCTTTTGGAGTATGAAATAAGTTCACTTTCATTAATAGATCAGGCTACTGCTTTAATTGTGGAATTCTTTGCTATGTTCTGTATTGTGTTTATAAATGATCTTTCTTAAATCTAAATGTCTGAAATGGTATGTGCAGAGGCTGCACAGAGGAGAAGCCTAATATGTGAGAGATGACTCGAAAGTAGGCATGTTAAGTCTATCAAATGGTGTTTATGTGGCCTGCATATTAGTTCTGCAGAATCTGTAAAAACTTCTAATATGAAATCTTTTAGCACCCAGGAAGGTAACTATCAGAATGTGAACAGAGAGTAACTGTGGCTGTGTTGTCGCCTTGAATCTGCAGACAACCTGAAACAATGGTTGCAAACTGTGACTATTTCATTGCTGATAAGGTGGAAGGGTCTGGAAGTTTGGCATGGAAGAAACTATGGAAGGGAGACATTCAAAGAAAAAGAAACAGAGATGGATGGCAAAAGAAGAGAAATAAGAACAGAAATAACAGGGATCCTAAAAGTGAGCTTATTTGCCAGTGAATGATGCTGATTGCAGCATCAAGGTGCTACAGAACAAAAGCTAAGTTTTGAGTTTCAGAGGAACAGTTTTGAGTTATAACTCTGCCCTTGCTCTTTGTATAAACTTCTTGTTGACATAAATGGGAATTATCCCTATGGACTGAATCAAATATGGAGTACTAAATCTGTAATTCTGGCCCATGAACAATAATTAGAACTGGATTTCAGACCTCTCCACCGAATGTGTTTGAAACGGACTCTAAAAGAACTGCTGTTTGTGTGCTGACCTTATTTTTGCTGGATGAGCCATTCAGGTGTAAGTGATTTGGAGCTTGAGGCTACACATAAAGACTGGCAAAATCATTTAACAAACACTAACTGCATATAAGGGCTTGTCTACACATGGGTTATTCTGAAATAACTCCCAAGCATATATGCTCTTATTGTGAATTAAGCTAAACTGGAAAAAAGCACTCTTGTTTCCAGAATAAGCTGGTCTATACTGAAAAGTTGCATCAGCATACCTCTCAAGGTTGTGAAAAATCCCCATTAGAGAGTAGTTAAACCAGTCTAACCCGCAGACCGTGCTAGGTCGACCAAGAATTCTCACATGGTCACATTGATTGATGTTCAGCTGGTGTGAAAAACCAGCTGAGTAGGCGTTAGGAAGTAGGGAGCAGTTTTGAGCAGTCCGCATATTGAGCAGTTAATTTAAGCACTGTGGGTTTTGTTTCTACCTATTAACTATGGTAAATAATAGTCATTTCAAAGTTGCAACTCTTGAGGCTATGTCTCCACTACAGAGTTAAGTTGACACAAGTTACGCTGACTATCATAAATGTGTTGTATGAAGTCAAAACTAAACCCTTAATGGGGCTATTGTTGCAATGAAAGGGACCATCTGAAAGCATACTATGGAGATGTTAGCCGCTAAGATGCCACCAGGATTCCTTTCAGAGTAGCAGCTGTGTTAGTCTGTGTCCGCAAAAAGAAAAGGAGTACTTGTGGCACCTTAGAGACTAACCAATTTATTTGAGCATAAGATTTCGTGACGTACAGCTCACTTCATCGGATGCATGCCACAAGTACTCCTTTTCTTTTTATGGATTCCTTGTTGTTTTTGCTGATAGACTAATGCGGCTCCCCCTCTGAAAGCTGCTTCCTAGAAGCCAGTGACCTAACATATAAATCTTATGCTAGGATGAAGTTTGTTTCCTTTGGTAGTTCTGAATTCCTGTGCATATAATCCAGTCTGGTTGTGGTTGCTGTTACTGCAGTCCTCCCAAGTCTCATACCTTCAGGGGGTTAACTTTACAGTATCCTCTTGAGGGTTTAAAAGGGCACCTGACCACTGCATATTCTGTGAGGTATTGGGGAAGGGAAGCAGCAGCACTGACTGTCCTCCAAGCAAATCCAGGCCATCTAACAGAGGCATGGAATAATAGGCAACATCTGTCAGCATTTACTCTATGATAAGAGTTGCTCTGCTGAGGAAGTGGCTCTATGTTTTTATGCTTGGTAAGTTCTCTGCTAGGTTGACTACTGGTTGGGGGCAGAAAGAACTTGGCATGAATTGTGCCTCTTGGTTCAAAACTGAAGGCTTGTCTACACTTACAGCGCTGCAGCTGCACTGCTGTAGTGCTTAGTGAAGATGCTCCCTACCTCGAGGTGGTAGCTGTGTCAGCGGGAGAAGCCTTCCTGTCAACATAGCGCTGTCTACACCGGGGTTTAGGTCAGCATAACTACGTCACCCCTGAGCAACGTAGTTATACTGGCATAAGCTTGTAGTGTAGACTAGGGCTGAAAGAAACCTAACCATATATCTGAAAGAAGCTATTAAAAACAAAAACAGAAGACCTACTGATTACAAAAATGTGCTTCTTTAACTCAGTGACAAATGGATTTTGAGGTGGTCTTACGTAGATTTGTTTTGTTTTGTCGTCCGTCCCCCCCGCCCCACCCCCCAGCTACTGGCACTAATTAGGCTTTCTTGTAGAACCTGAATAACTAGTTAACATGTTAATTCTCATTATGTAGTAAGCTGGATCAGACAGTGTGGCTCCTTTTAAAGTAATACAGAGGGTGTACCTCTCAATTTTGAGGATCATACTCCAGCAAGTCTGCATTATTTAAGGTAAACTGTCCTGGCTTCAGCCCCCAAACTTCTCTTTGGATGAATTAACTTTTATCAGATCTCCTCACTTAGAGACTTATTGCGCCATCAATGCAGAATTCCAAGATCAACGTGCACCAAGGAAAAATGTTAACTTCTCTAAAATGGCTGCGTGTGTCTTCATTAGGAAATCTTGGGTGAATTCTGGAAGTTTTGCCATTGAGTTCAGCGGGCTCTGGATTCCACCTGGTATGTCTAAAGACTATATTGTGAGGCTAGTGTACTGACCAGTCAGTTAGGCCAGTAGACAAGGGCAAGAGGCATTCAGCATCATGTCAGCTAACTCAACTCATCATGTTTATTCCACACTGAATGCTGTTTGCCTTGTTTGCAGTCAGTTCAGGCATGGCCAGCATTGTCGGCTAACTCAGTTCTGCACAACATAAGATTTTAGTGAAGACAGCCCCTTTGATGTACACTCCTTGTGGGTCCCAGGCTTAAACTCTCATTATGGCTTTCTTCTGGAGAAGCAGATCTTTTTATGGTGGTCTGTGGTGTTCTGATGTGAATTAATTTTTTTTTTTTAGTACCAAATTCTGTTTTGTCTCCAGATAATTAATTTTGGACCCCGTAAATCTTTAAATTCATTACATTTATCTCCTTCCTCCCCTCCCTTTTAAAGATATCAACATAACTTTTTTGATTGTTGGATATTTATTTAATACAGGTCTTCTTGAACTCTCTTTGGACAAGTTCAAAAATGTGCTACTTAACCAGACCATCCCAGTGGAAGCTGTAATAAGGAATATTGCAAGCAATGTGACTGTCATTATTTTTCAAGTACATTCCCACCAAAAAAATGTAACCATCTCCTTTGATAAGGTATGTATGAAGTTGGAATCTAAATGCCTCCATTGTGTTCACATTAACTAATGGAACTCCTCATTAGAAGAGGAAGATTAGAAAATCACTCTGTGGTAAGGATAAATTTGTGTTTGGAGGGGAGAATGAAACTGCATGAACCACGCATATGTTTTTAATCTTTTAGTCTAGCTCCCAGACTTTAGAACTAAATCTTTTTCATGTCTACTCAACTTATCGTAGCTTATGTCTCACAAAAAACATGGAGCCATTCTGTATGTTGGGATTCTGAATGAATGAGCAGTTGGCTGCAAACTGCTCTGAAGCTTTAATTGTGGTGCTGTCACATGACCTTTGAAACATGCTGTAACATCTCATATTTGACCTAGGACTGACATCAATATACCAGTTCCCCACTCAGTGTTCTCCACTAGGATAAACACCTTTGGCTGTTGCAGTTCATATTTATAGGTGTGGATGTTATAGGGCCCTTCTTAAAATTTTGTGTGTTGCTTTTGTTTTATTCCCCTAGTTACCTCTTCTGGATTTATTTTTGTTAACTTCAGTGATGTGGGATGAGGGGGACAAATGCTCTTAAAAGCTCAGGTTTCAGAGTAGCAGCCGTGTTAGTCTGTATTCGCAAAAAGAAAAGGAGTACTTGTGGCACCTTAGAGACTAACCAATTTATTTGAGCATAAGCTTTCGTGAGCTACAGCGTGTGCATCCGATGAAGTGAGCTGTAGCTCACAAAAGCCTATGCTCAAATAAATTGGTTAGTCTCTAGGGTGCCACAAGTACTCCTTTTCTTTTTTCTTAAAAGCTCAAATTCATTCTGTTTTTCTTCCACAAACATGACTCCCCACCTTGCCCCTCTAATGAAGCATAAACATTCTTGCTGCTGAACTCTAGCCTCAGTTCAGCAACACTGGCATTGGACAGTGTAATCTAAAGGTCAACTATTCTGTGGCAATGAGGATGTAACTGGTTTGTGGGACAAAATGTACCTTCTGCAGTATAATCTCTGTACTAGCAGGTAGCTTTCCTGTGACTAACCCCATTCTCCTAAGCAAAACTTTCATGGGCATTTCAGCAAGGACTCACTCACAGGGTATTTGGGACAAAACTGGGGAACTTGTGATTGGTGGAGGTGGTGGCTGTGCAAGTTTCTTCTCCCAACGCTTTAACCTATTCGCTTTTCTGGAATATTCAGTAGTACCTCTGCAGCCACAGTTTAGTAACTGCATAAAGCATTGCTTTTTGTGTAGTCCTAAATAAAGCAATTAAAAAAAAAAAAAAAAGCAACAGAATGATGATTGTAAAACAATCACAAATGCAACATAGGGACTTGGAAGCCTGAGAACATTGCCTCAGGCTAATCACTCCAGTGTCCTATTTTGAGCCCAAACCAAACGGTATTGCCTCTTTAAAGGAATGAAGATAAAATAAAATGATAAAGCCTGTGGCTGGCTGACTTGTCTGGAGTCCGCAATGATCTAATAGCTGGCAATGGGATTCACACCCCCAGATAATGCGTGCCTTCTGGAACGAGCTCTCTGTGTGTCTGTCACTCTGCAAAAACCTACTGCTGTGCTGAAGGTGTGCTTGGTTTTATCTGTTTGTTTTCAGAATTCCTCTGCAAATAGCTCAGAAACTGGAGTAGACAAAGGGTTAGTTTCCATTCTTCGGCCTCAGCAGAGTGTGTGTACATGGTACCTGCAGTCTCCGGATGCCAAGCAAGTGTTGAGCACAGCTGTTTCTTTCGCTTATTCTGAGAGAGGTAAATTTTTTCCCCCCTCTCATTCTGTTCTGCGATAACAACAGAAGAGTTAAACTACAGATCTTTTCTCTGGAAGGCCATATTTGTTGCCCAGTACTATATATAGCTTGCACTAAACACACCGGAAGTCCTGACACTTACTGGGGAATGGATGCCAAATTTGGGTTCAGCATTTAATCAACTGATTATATTGAGATCTAACATTAAAGCAATTGCTATCTTGGAGCTGGCTGTACAGGCTTTGCTAGTCTAAAGCCCCAGTCCTGCCAACATTTATTCCCATGTTTAAGTCTAGTCAGAGTTTCTGTGACTTCCATGTATATACCTGTAGGATCAGGACCCTATATTTCAAGATCTTTGGAGAATGGACTATGCCTGTTAATAATACCAAAGGAGGCCCTAATAATAAACACAACAAAAGGGAACTATAGCTTCATTCCATTGCACTGCTGAAAATTACTCGAGAGGGAGAGGAAGATTTGCTACATCTAACTGTCTCTTATTTTGTTTGTGTTTTTTAGATCCTATCCCTGGAGGCTGCAATCTGGAATTTAACTTGGAAGTTGATCCCAATATTTATTTAGAGTATAATTTAATTGACACATGCATCAAGTTTGCCCCTGCAAACTTGGGATATGCCAGGTGTGTGTAACTTAACAAATAGTCTTCCATGTATTGCATTTGTGCAGAGCTGGAAATGCTTAATAAACAATATTATTCTGCTGGAAAGGTATTTTCTCTCTTAGCAAGAGAGAATTTTGCTTATAGCAAAAGAAATAGACATCAAACAAGGGAAGATGCATAGCTGATCCTGAAAAAAAGGTTAACTTTGTGAGGGAGAGAGGAAATGGGGTGAGGAGACTATCCATAGAAAGTGAGAGAAACTATACAAGCTCAAATTTCTGATGTTTACCCTGGTGAAGAATACACAGTTATTGGGACTAATGATTCTTCATGGAAAACATCTGTTCTGTTCTAGAAACCATTCTGTACTACTGTTTTTTTTCTTCTTCATTCTATTACAGGGGTGGGCAATTATGGCCTGCAGGCTGGATCCAGCCCGCGAGCAGTTTTAGCTGGCCTGCGAGCTCCTGCTGGGGAGTGGGGTCTGGGGCTTCCTGCACTCCAGCTGGGGCACTGGGTCGGGGGCCAGACCACGTGGCTCAGCCCTGCTCTGGCACTCCAGCCGGGGTGCAGGGTCGGGGGCTGCACCGCATGGCTCCCGAAAGCTGTGGCATGGCCCCACTCTGGCTGCTACATGCCCCAATGAGAGCTGTCTCTGCAGATGGGGCAGCACGCAGAGCCACCTGGCCGCGCCTCCACACAGAGCCAGAGAAGGGACATGCCACTGCTTCCGGGAGCCACTTGAGGTAAGCGCCACTCAAACCTGCACCCCTGAGCCTCTCCCCATGCCCCAACCCCCTGCCCCAGCCCTGATCCCCCTCCTGCTTGCCAACCCCCTTTATCCCAACTCGGAGCACCCTCCTATACCTCAAACCTTTCATCCCCAGAGCCCTCCTCCCCAGCTGGAATCTTCACCTCTTCCCGCACTCCTGCCCCAGCCCTGATCCTCCCTCCTGCCCTCTGAACCCCTCGGTCCCAGCCCAGAGCACCTTCCTACTCCCCAAACTCCTCATCCCCGCCCCACCCCAGAGCCCTCATCCCAACACCAATCTTGTGAGCATTCATGGCCCACCATACAATTTCTGTTCTCCGATGTGGCCCTCGGGCCAAAAAGTTTGCCCACCCCTGTTCTATTACCATGATAGCAAGGTCCTTGTCTGGAAGTCTTATCTAATCTTACTGCTTATCACCTGCAGTCCTAATCTTCTGCATAGTGTAATGCATCATGATAGATGGCTGTTGGCAGAAGGTGGGGAAGGATATAAGGCCAGATGGAATTTGTGCCATTGTCAAAGCACAAACTCTTTCTGAGGAAGGGCTTTTCTAAGGGCACATCTTCACTGGCAACATTAAAGCGCTGCTGCGGCAGTGCTTTCATGTGGCTTGTGTAGTCGCGGCAGAGTGCTGGGAGAGAGCTCGCGCTAAAAACCCCACCTCCCCGAGGGGTGTGGCTCCCAGCACTGGTGCACTGTTTACACTGGTGCTTTACAGCTCTGAAACTTGCAGCGCTTAGGGGTGGGGGGGTGTTTTTCACACCCCTGAGCAAGAAAGTTGCAGCACTGTAAAGTGCCAGTGTAGACAAGCCCTAAAGCTCTATGTTGTTGGATGGATTCTAAGGTAGATCTATTTCTTCTGCATTTCAGCCTACTCAAGGGGAAACATGTGAATTCTCTCCTAATGTCTGTCTGGCTGTTGTGACAATTTAAATGACAATTTGGAAAATCTGTGTTATATTTCCTAGCAATGGCTTATGTTAAGCGTTAGCTATAATGGCAAGATCTGTTGTATGTGCTGTAGAAATGCACAGTAAAACATTCTCTTTCCCAGAAGACTTTACAACCTGCGCGTATAGCTTGGAGACAGATTGAAATCTAAACTCTTCTTTAGAAAGAGCCAAATCCTGAAGCCCAGACGTGGATCTGGATGTTGAAATATCCATGTTCAGATCTGGAGTTCTGCTTCTGCCAGTTATCGATACAAATCTAAGATCAGGACTCTTGGTCTGGGTTTGTGGCTAGTATAAACTTTTCTTTGTCTAATTCCAGAGGTGCCAACCCTCCCTCGTGTGATTCAGGGACAGGTCAGAACTCTAGATGGCGACTGCACTATGACATCTATCAGTATTTCTTACCAGAGAATGATCTCTCGGAAACTGCACTCCTGAATCACCTGCGAAAGATGTCTGACGTGCAGAGCGTCCGAGCTAATGGCGTTAGAGTAAGTTTGGCTAACATTTAGATTGCCAGCAAAGGCATGTGTGGGGGAAGGGGTGAAACAGTTGCAGTGTTGAAACACCAGGATGCGATGTTTCCTCTGGGTTCTGTTCCCTGTCATGACACCACAAGTATTGACCTCCGCTTGTGGAGCGTGACATCTGCGAAATGGGTCACAAGTCAGTGGGTATTGCAAAGCTATTAACTGTAACTTGTAAAGCTATTAACTGTCAGAAATTGCTGTGTATGTGCCTTGCCTTCGGGGTATGATCAGCTAGCCGGCCCATTCTGATAATGGGAAAACTTCTAAGCTGATACTCTGTTAGAGAGCTTTGGTGTAGGGAGCTACCTGGAAATTGGGTTCTAACTTCCCATGGAGTTTGATTATATTTGCCTTGTGATTTTATTTTTTTTAAAACTTTTATTGTGAGTCTCGAAACAAATTTAAGAATTATCAAAAATCTGATTTCTGCCTTCAATCTTGAAGTTTAGCTTTAGCCAATATGGCCACCATGTCTCCTTTTTAGCAATGGTGCTGAGGCCCCCACAGGCTGGCCCCAACAACATGGCCACTATATCCCTCAGCTGAGGAGGAAATGTGGGGTGGGAGCAAGTGAATGTAGGGGGCTTACAGGAGACTGGGGAGCACAGACGTAGAATGTGAGTACTGCACTACTTCTCCTGTCTAGCTAGGGAGAGGATCAGAGCGGGATAGAATGACAGCTCTCCACACCCCAGGGGACAAGACAGGGGAAGCAGAGCTCCCTGTGACTAGGATGACTGCACTTTCATATTTATTCAAGGCTGAATCTTTGACCCTTAGCTCACTCCCAAATTGGAGGTGGGTCGCTTCCTACTAGAAGTGCAGAAGGGGGATCAAAATGCAGGCTAAAAACTACAATTCATGATTTGGTTTTAAAAAATCTTGTTGGGGAGGGGGGGATATTTTTGCCATTGGGGTAGTTGTAGAGTCTGACCCATGAATTTTGGGTTGGATTGGCAATACTGAGCGAGGGCTTGTGTGAACTGGCTCTTAATAGGCAGAATTCCCACTGAACCCAATGAGACTTTGGCACACAGATGACTCTTGGATTACATCCCACATTTACTTAACTCTGCCTCTAGATCTTTGAACACTGTTCCAGACTCAATACCCAACATGGTTACCCTTGGAACTTTCTTAGGCTAATCAAGGCATCCTGGTTGGATGGCATGCGCCCCAGGCGTGATGCAAAGGAGGAAAGGGACAGAGCCCTTTGTAAGATCACAAGAGTATTTATTGACGGTGACAAATTCTGGTTTGTTTTTTTTTCCAGCTGGTTTCCTTAACAACTGACGAAAAGACCAATGTACACTTCTCCTCACTCCCTGGACAAGGAGTGATCTATAATGTCATCGTGTGGGATCCACTTTGGAATACCTCTGCTGCATATGTACCTGTTCATACCTATGCCTGTAGCCTCACTGCCCTTGTGGATAATTGTTCCTCTCTCAGTAAGTCCAGTAGACCTGTATGTTTTTTTTTATATGCGTTCTTGCTTTCAGTGTGAGTTGGTCTATTTAACACGCTCAGACCTGGGCTTGGGCTTCTGCATTTGTCAGCAGCTTTGGAGACTATCTAACGCAGAGCAAGAAACTGCCTACTTTATGGCATTTTTAGAGCGTTACTAGCATGAGAAGTGATTCTATGATAGGGGGTTTCCCTAGCTTCTTTCAGTGACCCCAGATCTAACTCATCAAGTACATAAGAGCAGGTATCGCATCTACACGCTAACTGCCTACCCAAGATGTATTCTTAATCTTGTGCACCACCAGTAAGAAGGATGCAGCAAATGAAATTCATTGGTTAATGAATATGTCACATGGATTGGAACAGGACCCAGCTCTCTCCCATAGCTGTGTTAACATGGCAGTGCAAAAGGGAATAAAGAAAGTATGAAGTGTATCTGTCATCAAGCTGTTGAAATATGACTCTGCATGCAGGGAATGAATCTCTTGAGTAAGAAGGTGACATTTTTTTACACGACTGCCTTTCTGACCATAACCGCACAAGTGAGCGTCGACCACAGGAAAGCATAGCACCTGATTCGTCGCTTCCTTGCAGCTCACAAAGTTGCTTACACCTGTACAAAGTGAATGGGAGGCATGGGGGAATATTGTGAGGAAGCAAAACTGTCATTCTGATGCTTATACCATGTTACACCTGCCTGATATATGGGGGTAAATGACTGTGCCAGGGACAGGGGCAGTGGAAAATCTGGCCCATGACATTTGAAAGTGAGTCGTGGGAGGTAAATGCTCTTCTAAAATCGTATATTGTAAGTTAAGCAATGGTATTTAAACTGGTTTTGACACACACACATTCTGCAGTCTGTGGGAGATTGGGATAAGCTTCTTAACACGTTCAGAGAATCAAATAAACTGTAGTGTCCCGTTTCCAATGGTTGTAACACCAATAAGAATATTGCATGCAGTGTCTTGCAATGGAATATTTGAGGAAACTCTTCTGCAAGCTTCTTTTTGTTTAATGAAGATGAGGTATTAAACAAATGACTGTAGGTCCACACTAAGCCTGGTCTACACTATGAACGTATGTTGGTTTATCTACATCATTCGGGTGTAGAAAATCCCTGAGTGATGCAGTTATACCAACCCAACTTCCAACAGAACTATGTCAACGGGAAAGCTTCTCCCATGAAGATAGCTACGGTCTCTGGGGGAGGTGGAGGAGCTACGTGGATGGGAGAAGCTCTCCCGTCAAGAGCATCTTCACTAAGCACTACAGTGGTGCAGCTGCAGCACCGTAAGTGTAGACAAGCCTTAAAGGTCTTTAAATTGTTGTATGGTGGCAGTACCCATGTCATAGCATTCTGGCTGTATGTCAGAGGGTTGTGACTTGCTGTCTAGAAACTGCGGTTGCGGGTTGGTATAGTGTTGTAATTTAAAGACAGTTGGGAACTCATACCATGGTAATTTTACTGACTTCATGTTTACATGACATGTAACTTAATTGGAGATCTTGAACTTTTGCTTCAGGCTCTCCTCTTCAGAGTCCCACTCCTGCATTGATATTAGAATGGGAAGGAACTACTGCCCTCTGTGGGATGGAATTGGAACTGTTCAATAGTTCCAAATCCTCTTCTATTAAAGGAGATGCTCCTTCAGCTCAAGCAGTACTTTGAAAGAGCATATGAGCTGTTAATACCCATCGCGTCCACAGCGCAAGCATAAGTGTCCATGGCTTGTTACCTTATTCGCAGCCCTGTGTGTATATGCACACCCAACTTCATTTTTTGTTTCCTTATAGGAAGACTCTCCACCAAAATATTCTTCACCACTTTTGCTGTTCTTGGTCTCTTTATTTGCTTCTTTGGGCACAGGTTCTGGAAAACAGGTACTGTGCATTGTGGGGGCTGAGGTGTGGCTGTCTTTGTTCTGAATGGAATAGGGCTTCCTGGCTGTAGATTTAACCAGCATAATCTGCGTAATCCTCACTCTTGATCCCACATGTGAGTGTTATGGGAAGGGACCCCTATTCTCGATCCCACAATTTTATCATGGACTGAAAACTTGTGTCTACAGTTGGTGAGAAACTGGCTGTAGATGTCACAGAACAGGAAGCTAAAACTAGCTGGAGGGAGCAGGGCAGTCTTATTGTAGACTGGCTGAGTTCTGAAGAAGTGAGCTAACTTTATTTACCAGTGCCAGACATTTGGGTGGGCCTGTGCTGTTTGGTTATTTGCTCTGTACAAACTACATTTTTATAACGAAAATCTCATTTCCTGGAGAATAGATGTCTAACTGTACATAAAAGTAGGCTTAGAATGGAAAATTGTCAGAGCATATCAAACTGTTTTTTTTGTCTTTTTATTTTTTTTAGATTTGTTCTACATGGGCTTCATCGTCACAGGATTTATTTTCTTTGTATTATTTACTAGAATAACCTCCCTTAGTTATGATGGTAAGTGAGGACAAACTTGGGGAGTAGGGGGAGGGGGGGTGTAGAGAGAGAGGAGAGAAAGAGAAAAAAAAAAAAAAAAAAAGCAAGATTGGTGTCAATGACAATGTCCCACTGAAATCAGTTGGGACTGGATAATGGCTCTTTGTTAAAAGTAAAAGTTGTCCTGACACAAACAAGGCCAGCAAGAGTCTGTCATGATGAATTGACATGCGACTGTGCCATCTTTAAAATTAAAAAGCTGGATCACTTTCCTGAGCCATCATACAGATTGTCCCAATAGTATCAAAAAGCCCAGAGTAACTGCTGGCTCATGATCTGCTACTTTTGATTTAGGGTGAACTGTAGGATGGCAGAGGTTAAACTGTTTGTTTGGATTTGGATACTAGAGGAAGGCCATTATTTTAGAAAGTAGTGAAGTTGTATTGTGCCTCTTCCTCCATTGTCATTGGAGTAAGAAAGGATGGTCTTGTGGTTAAGGCACTAGCCTGGCACTCTTATTGCAATGACACTACAAAATCCAGAAATACTTCTGTTGTCTCATACTGACTCTCTGGTATTCTGATCAGTGTCAGGAGGCATTTCAACAGGTACACTTGGCTATAGCCAATTTTAATGGCTTCATTATCATTTGGGCTTCATCAGATAAGGGTAGACTTAATAAACTTGAAGTAGCATTGCATATTAGCTCAACAACTGTGATCTTTTAGGACCTTACCAAAACTGGTTTTTCCAGGAATTTGACATCTTGGAGGTGCTTTTCTTACTCCTCCCTCCCCCCCTTCTCCCCCCTTTCTCTTTTACAGTTTGTCTGATTCTGACAGCAGTAGCTGGACTCGTTGGAGGGCTTCTCTTGGTTGCTTATTGGTGGAGATTTGGCTTTGTCCTTCTGTGTATGTTGATTGTTGGACTTGTGCTGGGATTCTTCTTCTCATCAGTGATCTTCTTCACTCCACTAGGTATGCCTTGTAGCACTTTCTGTTACTGTCTGAATAGTCATTCAGAGACTGTACTGCTGCAGTGACACCAAACAACTGTGGTGGGGCTGGCTTCTGAGGTAGATTTTGATGTCTTGCTACCAGTGTAGCTTGAGACTGGGCTTCTGGGAAGGATGCCACATTCTGGCTGATCTGTGGAAAGTGACTAGAGGATTAAAATGGGTGATTTTACTAATTATGTACTTCCAAAATGTAGGGAGGATTACATAGTGTGTCTGCAGCACTTTTGAAGCGATGAGTGTTGTTGCATATGGACAGAATGCTGTTTATAATAGGAGCTTTTAAAAAAACCAAATCCCCTAAGATGTGGCAGACTGCAAATGACTTTGTATTTGAACTTGTTGGGGCTCCCCCCCAGAGCACTTAGTATTAAATTAGATTTCTGAAACAGCAACATTACTCCCCGCGCATGTAGATCCATTCTTGCTTCTCCCTTCCCCCCAACAAAGAATCTGAAAGCCTGTAACTTGGGGAAGGGACTGTGCTTAAAGATGTTCTGAGAGCTGCTCTTCGTCTGGTGTTGTGTTGGGAGATTAAAATTCAAACAAAAAGCCTTGTGCACAGTCATGTCCTGGAGGGAGGAGTTTTACTCCTAGCTGTACAAATGTGCTCTTCTGTATCTAGTCTGACTTCACGAACAGGTGAGGCTGCTGTTCCCCCTAGTGCATCTTAAAAAAGGCACTACTTAAAAGCCTGTTTGTACAGCTAGGCTATTGAACTGAAGTACTTCTGGGATAGTGACGTTAGCAAAACTACTTCCTTCTCTCTTATTTTATATCTCCAGAGACCACATTCATCTTGCTCTGCCATGGTAATACTGAACTCAAGATTGATCGGTTCTCTCTCTTCTTCTTCTTCTTTTTTTTTTCCTCTCCCCCCTCTGTCTCTCTCCAGCTACCGTAAACCATCAAGTCAAAGATCAGATTGGGAGAAGGGACAGCTCCAAGCTGTCGGTTTTCACTTAGGTTAAATGAACTGTATGAAAGAGTTCACTAGTGCGTGACTTAGACATTGATCCTCAATAATCTCTGTGTGCAGACCCCTGTTGAAGTCCAGTGGCTTCCAAACTGGTGCAGGGATCACCCATGCAGAGCTTGGGAGATTGGGGCCTTGGATTGTAAACCTATCTACTAAGTAAGACAGTCTCTGATTTGTGTGTAAAACTGTGCACTAGAGCCGGTTGGAATCTTAAGAATTTTTTCTAAATATCTTGTTGACATTTTGGATTTTAACATGATTGTTTGCAAAATTTTTCATCAACTTTTTCACTTCTTGATTAGTTCTCCTGTGTACATTTACGGTACAGTTGTTATATTAAACCCAGCAGACTGGTCGCTGACTGTTGCGATGGACTGCAAACGATGAAGATGTTGGTTTTGTATAACACAATGGACAGAAATGGAATGGAAGAAATTCAGTGGTTGATCTGTCCTGCTGCCCATATGTAACTACACGATCTCCCCTCACAGTACTCTGGAACGTATTCCCAGAACTCCCTGTATACTGGGATGAGGTTCTAGTCTTAAAATATTATCAAGTGTTGTGGTCCTTTACTTTGCAAAATCAACTCCATTTACACATGAAGTCTCACTTGTGGCTGACTCACAATGTGCTGTCTCTTCACAGGAGACTACAAGGTTTTTCGTGATGATGCTGTGTTTTGGGTGACCTTTTCCTGCATAGCATTGATGGTGCCAATAGTCTTTGTTGGCTGTCCAAGAATTGTAAGTATTTGCACTACCTGGCTTCGCTTTCTACGACGGTTGAGCATATGTGTGTATCTGAAAACAACATACTCCTCTAAAATTTGGTAGAGGAAGAGGTTTGCCTAAGGATGTGATCAGAGTCCTGACTCTCTCTGAAACCTTCAGAGCCTGCCCATCACTTTTGTGTGTTTAAAAACAAAATATGCCACAAATTATGTATGTATTGGGACCCTGTTGTGCTGGGTACAGTACAGACACCCTTAAAGATTATAGTCTCTTCAGGACTGTGTTTTGTGTATGTCTACATTGCAATCAGAGGGGTCACTGCAGCACATGTGTGCATATCCGAATTCGCTTTGATTCAGCTTGCTCAGACAATAGCAATGAAGCCATAGCGGCATGGGCTAGCCCCTAGAGCAGAGGTTCTCAAACTTCATTGCACCATGATCCCCTATTCCTATACGACCCTGGAGGGAGGACCAGAGCCTGAGCTTGAACCCTGCTGCCCCAGGTAGGGAGGCCAAAGTCTAAGCCCAAGGACTTCAGCCCCAAGAAGGGGCCTACAACTTGAGCCCCGTCGCCCTGGGCTGTAGTTGGGCTCAGTCTTTAGATTTGGCCCTGGGCCCAGCAAGTGTAAGTTAGTCCTGGTGACCCCATTAAAATGGGTTGTGACCCACTTTGGTTGGGCTGCTGGGGGGGAGTTAGGGCTCTGGGCTGGGGGTGCAGGCTGGAGATGAGGAGTTTGGGGTGCAGGAAGGGTTTCTGGGTTTTGGGGGGGGCTCACGGGTGGGGTAGGGGGACTCGGGGTTGGGGCGTGGACTTATCTCTAGTGGCTCCTGGTCAGTGGCACAGTGGGGGTGCAGAGGCAGGCTTCCCGCCTTTTCTGGCACCACGGACCGTGCTGCGCCCCGGAAGTGACCAGAGCCGGTAGGGTCCCTGGGCGACCCACTGCCTTACATGCCTTACTGAGTCGCAACCTGAGCTTTGAAAACCACTGCACTGGAGTACACCTCAAGGGTCCTGGTCGGGCTTGTACAGCTCAAGCTGCTGTGGCTTCACAGCTCTGATCTAGCAAACTCAATAACAAACTTGGGTATGTCTACGTGTGCTGCAATTACCCTGCGGCACTGTAGACTTACACTAAAACAAGCTGCAACAAGTGTTTTGGAACAAATAAAAATGGGGAATGCAGGAGGGAAGACAAGATAAAAAAGAACTCTCACTATGCTGTCTGTATGGAAAAGATAGAGGCTGTTCTTTAGCTGGCCATTGGAAGATCTGATCTTTCTGTCTTTGTAGCTGAACATATTGGCCTGTGGCATAGTAGGCTCTTATTCAGTCGTCTTAGCAATTGCTTGTTACCTGTACACAAGCCTCGCTTACATCACATTGGACCTACTCAGGAGGGTTCTGAATGACGACTTCAGCCAAGCGTACACCAATGTGCCCTTCCAAACAAATGGTGAGTAATTAGGTTTTGTCTCTTCACAAACCATTAAGTGAGTAAAAGGACTCTGAAGCTCTTACTGAGAAGAGCTGCTTCTGGAGCCATAGCTATCTGGTACTTCCATGGCCTCTGCCTTGTGGTATGTGTGCACCTCCCATGCATTAAGACAGGGGTGGCCATCCTGTGGCTCCGGAGCCACATGTGGCTCTTCAGAAGTTAATATGCGGCTCCTTGTATTGGCACCGACTCCAGGGCTGGAGCTACAGCTGCCAACTTTCCAATGTGCCGGGGCGTGCTCGCTGCTCAACCCCTGGCTCTGCCATGGGCCCTGCCCCCACTCCACCCCTTCCCGCCCCCTCCCCTGAGCCTGCCGTGCCCTCGCTCCTCCCTCCCAGAGCTTCCTGCATGCCACAAAACAGCTGATCGGGAGGTGCAGGGAGGGAGGGGGAGGCGCTGATCGGTGGGGCTGCTGGTGGGTGGGAGGCTCTGGGAGCAGGGCAGGGGTGCTGACGTATTACTGTGGCTCTTTGGAAATGTACATTGGTAAATTCTGGCTCCTTCTCAGGCTTGGGTTGGCCACCCCTGCGTTAAGATGACTGTGTTCTCTCTCTCTCTCCGCCCCCCCCCTTTCTATTGAGGGATTTTTGAGGCTTTTCTATTAATGTAAATTAATGGGTGAGGAGGTGGGTTTTGCAACTTTCTTTAGAGCAGCTCCAGGCTACTTGGCAAGGATAGGCTGAAGTACATGGCTTCCAGATGCAACTAAAGGCTCTGGGCTTCTGTAAGATCCCAACTTTCAATCTGATTTTAAGAGAGGGTCACTTTTACCCAGTGTGAATCCTGTAACAAATGCCTGGATCATGCCAAGGCGAAGGTGTCCATTTAATGATTAAGAACTGGTTTAGGAAACTTTCTCTCATATGCTAATCTTCAGAGGCCCTCAACACACTTTTTAAAAACCTTAATCACCACAGCATGCTTGAGAGAAATGATTCCCCCATTTATAGATGTAGAAACAGAGTTTAAGTGAGTTGCCCAGAGTCCTATAAGAAATAGTGAGGCAACGCTGGAGTCGTAAGTTTAACTCAGGCCTGTACTTCAACTACAAGAGCACCGTCTCCCTCTACAAACATACTGTGTTTATAGTAGGCACCCAGCCCTGTATTTTCCATTCCCCTATGACTGCTTGGTCCAAGCATGTCAATATGCAAATCAGCATCTAAATCTGAGCCTGACCTTTCTAGTGATGTTGCTTTTGTGGGGGAGTGGGGAAATCCCTTCATTCTGATACTGTTTGAATGAATGGCTTCCTATTCCACTATAGATTTAATCATCCTGGCAGTATGGGGGATGCTGGCAGTCGGTGGAATAATGGTGCAGCTTCGCCGAGAGAGACGTGAGGTACCCTTCCCACCACACCCTTACCGTATCTGGAAGCGAGAAAGGGAGCGCAGGATTACTAACATTCTGGATCCTAGCCACCACATCCCTCCTCTGAGAGAGAGGATCCATAACAAACTATCGCAGATCAAGGAGTTCTTCCGAAAAGAGCAGCCAGCTGGGGAAAGAACTCCATTGCTTCTGTAATTTAACCAAATGGTGCACATTGATAGCTACTCAAAAGGGCTCTAAGCATCTAAACTAAGGTGGTGATGACCAGCATCTGTCCAGCAGTGCTGACTTGGTGTTCTTATGACCTAATCCCGCTTAACAAAGCTACAGTGTATGCTGGACGTGGAAGACAAACCTTTATCTGGCTGATACACTCACTGCTGTCCTGTGCTCTTTCTCAATGGCCCACTTGTCCTGCTGTAAAAAATTCTGGTTCCTGCAGAGACCTTGCACTAAGGGTGGAGTATATTTGAGTGCAATGACTAAGGTGTTTCTCTTTGTGAGTCTTGTTGTGTTTGTTGGAAATGTTTAGGTATGTGAAATCTAAAAACAAAAGCCTGAGAAGGTAACTTGTGATTTAAATATGTGCAATGTCAAAACTCTTCCTTTGTATCTTGTAATGGATTTTCAAGAGACCACCTTGATTCTCACCAGACATGAGCATCCTATGCTGAACATACAAGGGAAGAAATATCTAGTCTGTCTTTAGTATTGAAGTATCCTAACTGCAGTGTCTTCACAACTATTAAACCTTCAATATTGGTACCAAACCCACATCTCTGAACACAGTAATGGTTTTTAATAGGTATATTACTGAACCATCACAAATTGTACTAAGTAACTTTTGTGTTTTTAATTGCACTGGATTAATATTTGTATTTCTGTGTGTTCAGCAACTGGACTCTGCCTCAGAGATAGAATAAGAAGGCTCCTTTTCATCCTCCCTTTTAAGCTATCTGCGGGGTGGGATGACGTCCTTTCAGTACCAAGCTGCTTGTCTGGTTTCTGCTTGAAGAGTTGCCCAGAGTCCTACAAGAAGCATTGAGGCAAAGCTGGAGTTGTAAGTTGTAAGAGATGATGGCTTGCTGATCAAACACAAGAGTCCCCTCCCATGCTTAGCTTCCCTAATTGTTTCTTTGAGCTAGGAACACCTAAGGGCTAATGGCCTCCTTGTTTCAGCTACTGTGCTTTGTAAATAGCTTTGGTTCCTGAGAATTGATTGAGTTAGCTCTTCATAGAAGAATAACCTCAAATTCAGCATTTCTGTTTTAAATGCAGATTTTCTTTTTTCTGAGCTTGCTCAAAACACTAACCCTGCCTCTTAATCAGTGCTTTCCTCTCCCCTCCCCTCCCCTTTTGGGTTAAGAATGTGAAAAGTATACTGCAGGTAAAGTATTGACCTGAAGCCTTGCTGGTTGGTAATATGTACATTTCTCTTACACTCCAGTTAGCACACTGTGTGTGAAAGGAGTTACCCTTACATAGAGTTACAACCCTTCATATTCCCGAGAGTTAGTGTCTTTTTCTTTTTAATCACTGCTGGAGAAGTGAACAAGAGTGGCTTGGTTTGGATCACTCAGTAAAACCACAAATCCAAGCTTTCCTCCAGCTCCTCCTCCCAGGCCTCTAAATACTGTCCTTCCCCTTGCGTGTGTATGTGGCTATAAAGTCCATACCTCCCACGTCCTGACCTAGGTTATGCAGGAAGTTGTACCTCCTTCCTCTTCCCTCATCACCCCCACTTCTGTACCTCTAACTCCTAGGCAGCAAGCAGCAGTCACCTCTCTTGCTTTGTTGTAATGCTCTTCAACTTTGTATTAGAACAGCCACTAACAAATAGTAAAATACTAAACTTACCAGTGCAACTTGATGACTAAAAACTGAAATTCTTTCAATATCAGATACCATCTTTGAATGACAAAGTGGTAAAGGAATTAAGTTTTTAACAATAGCTTTTGAAAGCTGCAAAACATCTAATGGCATGAGTTGACCACAACCTTAACAGCAACAAGAAGCCTTCCCTTGAAATCTTGATACTTCAGACCATTTTAATACTACTTAAGCTAATTTTTAAAATGTTCATTATGGGGTAAAAATTAGGAAAGATGTGGCATAGTTTCACAGTTTCTTCAAAGGCTGATTTAACTTAATTTTAAATCAGTCATTCACTGTGGGAGCTAAAAAGCAAGGGCCAGATTCTAGCATAGCTCAAATGAAATCAGTAAACTATGTTGACTTACACCAGTTGAAGATATGGTCCGGAACATGCTGTCTTTCAAGTGTCTCGAGGGAAAACTGTTTCTCATCTACTGGACTGTAGCTCACTGACTAACTTTTATAGCACTGATGATGCTGAGTAACTTTGCCACATCTGATGGCCAAAGTAGCAAACACTTAACTTGGATCTGAAACTACCCTTATATATGTTTACCTTGTTTTTATAATTGCCATGATTAACATTGTGAAAGAGAAAATATAAGTTACATTTGTTCCTATCTTTTATAATAAAGATTTTTTTTTAAGAGTACATGGAACTGAAGTCTGCTCTTATAGTGGGTTTTACCAACTTTGGTATAAACATGATCAAAACATATTTCAACCTTTTGTCTGTTCTGTAAGTCTCTTGTGGAGATGTTCAGAAGGTAAGTATGGAGGCTTCATTTTATCTTTTGTACAGTAAGATCTTGAGTTCCCATCTGAGATCTTGTCCACATTGTGCTCAGAGTCCCTGCCCCAAAGACCTTACACCATAATCAAAGATTTGGAGAAAGGAAACTATAGCTGTATTTTACACATTGAGGAAATTGAGCCAGATTAAGCAATTTGCCTAAGGTCACACAAGAAAATATTAGCAGGGATGGGAATGAAACGCAGATCTCCTGTGTCTCAGTCACAGCCTTAAAACTGACCATCCTCTGGATTTTTGAAAAAGGCTTTTTCTAATCCACGAGTGCTCTGAGAAATGTCCTTTTGCAGTGGGTTTTTGTAGCTCTACCCTCGGCATTGCTTCACGTTCTCCAGCCTTGTTCCCTATGAATTCATACTTATGAATTCATGCCGTCACTTATGAATTCATGTCGTCACTTGTTAAAGATTAACATCTTGGCACCAAACTCCCCTTTCAAAACAAAGCCTACACGCCCTGACACTAGGTCAACTTAATGAAGCACTGCAATTACCTGCACCATACTCTTACTTTGCTACAACAGAACTTTTTAGCATCTGGGACTTTAGAACTACTTCCTCCCTCAAACCAAGGTGGTTTCTTCTGTCTGACTCCCTTTTTAAGGGACAGCTGTGGTATGGCCAGTATCCTAGCTCCTTTAATCACTAGGACTATTAATTTTGGGTGAGAGAAAAGGGGCCCTGTCCATTTTTCACAATGTGGGCCAGAGAGCTGGGTCAGATTCTCCATGGAGTATGCTGTGTGTCAATTTAATGTGCAATGATCACTATAATTCACATCAGTTTCTAAAGCACACTAAGAACTTTATAAATGTCAGCCCCTGCAAACAGTACTGACTATGGTGGGGATGGTTGTGTTCAGGGCCCTTTGCCTGGGGAATTGTTCCAGAATCTGTTTTTATTCAAGACTCTTTTTAGCTCTTATAGCTGCTGGGCTCATGCTGAAAGCATGAGCAGAATGTAAATTCAACTAGTGGGTACAGTCAACCTGAAACAAAAGCTCAAACATGAACTAGCTTATTTTTCCTTTTTAAAATGGCTAAGTGACAGGTTTCAGAACTATTTTTAATGCATTTTCAAAAAACCATGTAGCTAGCTAGTTCCCCACCTTATGCAGCTCTCAGGCCCTCCAATTTCCCATTACCACCCCTAATGCATATAGGTATTAATACAAAATCTAGAGAAGACAATGTGGAGACAGCATGAGATTGAAACTAAAGAGAGGATACTGTACTGACCAACTCCATAGTTAGTTCAGTAAAACCCTCAAGTTCTAAAACTGCTTGAAATAAGTTTTAAAACTTAAATCCAGTAAGGGACATGGTCAGAATTAGGGCTGTTAAGCAATTAAAAAAATTGTGAATAATTGCACTGTTAATAAAACACCATTTAAATGTTTTTGGATGTTTTCTACATTTTCAAATATATTGATTTCAATTACAACAGTGTAATTGTGTTCAGTGCTCACTTTATATTTTTGATTACAAATATTTGTACTGTAAAGTATTTTTCAATTCACCTAATACAAGTAAGGCAGTGCAACCTCTATCATGAAAGTTGAACTTACAAACATAGAATTAGGTACCAAAACCAGCATTCAAATATTTGCTGTCTACAAGTCCACTCTGTTGTCCTCCTTGTTCAGTCAATTGCTCAGACAAACAAGTTTATTTACATTTGCAGAAGATAATGCTGCCCACTACTTGTTTACAATTTCACCTGAAAGTGAGAACAGGTGTTCACATGGTACTGTTGTAGCCAGTGTCACAAGATATATGCCAAATGCTTTATGCTTCAACCACCATTCCAGAGGGCATGTCCCCCTGCTGCTGATGGGTTCTGCCTGATAACAATCCAAAGCAGTGAGGCCTGATGCATATCCATTTTCATCATCTGAGTCAGATGCCACCAGCAGAAAGTTGATTTTCTTTTTTGGAGGTTCTGGTTCTGTAGCTCCCACATTAGTGTGTTGCTCTTAAGACATCTGAAAACGTGTTCTACGCTTTGTCCCTCTCAGACTTTGGAAGGCACTTCAGCTTCTTAAACTTTGGGTTGAGTACAGTAGCTATCTTAAATCTCACTGCAGATTTGACAAAATGCAAAGAAGGTACCAATGTAAGTGTTCTTAAAATGAACATGTGCTGGGTCATCATCCAAGGCTGCTATACCATGAAATATATAGCAGAATGTGGGTAAAACGGAGCAGGAGACCTACAATTCTCCCCCAGGGAGTTCAGTCACCAATTATTTAATGCACTTTTTTAATGTGTCATCAGCATGGAAGCATGACCTTTAGAATGGTGGCCAAAGCATGAAGGGACATATGAATGTTTAGCATATCTAGCACATAAATACCTTGCAATTGTGGCTACAAAAGTGCTATGCAAATACCTGCTCACTTTCAGCTGACATAAATAAGAAGCAGGTAGCATTATCTCCTATAAATAAACTTGTTTCTGTTAGTGAGTGGCTGAAGAAGTAGGACTGGTTGGACTTGTCAGCTCTAAAGTTTTACATTGTTTTTGACTGCAGTTATGTAACTTATGAGGTGAACTGAAAAATACTATTTCATCTATCATTTTTACAAGTGAAAATATTTGTAAAAGTGAGTACTGTACACTATTGTTGTAATTGAAATCAATATTTGAAAATGTAAAAAAAATCCAAAATTTAAGTGATTAAAACTGAGTAATTTTTTAATCATGAGTTAACTATAATTAAACAGCCCTCATAATCACCCAACTTTCTATTAAATGTGACTTAATATTCATAGAAGTAGCAGCCTGAATGTGGATGTAAATTTTTTTTAAACCCTGAAGGAAAGTCAGATTTTAGCAAAGTGTTCTGTATTAGCAAACTGTAATACTTGGTTTGAAAGCTGCATGACAACCTGTAAAAGTAACTAGGCTGTTACTTGTCCAAACTGATCCAGAGAATAAGTGAAAAGTACATTTGATTTTCAAATTTTAGTTTCTTGTCACTTTACAAGAAAACCTGCCTCCTTAACCTTTAACAGAGGTTGAGTGAAGGCCACGACACCACTAATTGGGCATCTTTTCTATAAATATAAAACACTAAGCAAACTAATTCTTGAATGGTACATTTTGCTAATATTGCTTTAATCATTAAGCCATCTCAATTTTCAGTCATCTTTATTCATAAAATAAGTTTACTGTACAATACACATTCCCAGCCATATCTTCACTTCAAGCATCTGCATTACAAAAATAGTGGGTATGTGATGGAAAGTCACTCCACACAATGTGAAATGTATTTAAAACCCTAAAATTGAGTTCATTGTGGGGATGGAGGAAGAGAAATATCAATACATGTAGGTGAAGACTAGGACTAGATAAATTAAAATCACATTTTGTATTTACAAAGATAAGCACGAATCAAGCATTGTTTCATAATAGAGCAACCTTAAGGAATTGCCACAGACTAACAGCTTCCTCTGTTATATAAGCTAGGAAACAACATTTTTTAAAAAAGATATCTTAAAATTTATCTTGAACATGTTGTTGGACACCAGTAATGTCTAAAGGGAAACTGTCATTTTCTTACAGCTCTCAAATGGAAATAAAATCTTTCTAAGGCTGATACAATAAGAAGGCATTGTATAACACAGTTTTTCCTAAGTTCCTAAACCAAAAGATAGGATGCTGATTTTGTAATCACTGTTAATAGAACTAGTGATCTTTTCAATAATTTTTATGAACATATTTTGTAAAAAGCAAGATTCCTTGGAAAGTTTGGAGAACTTCATGCACAGTTGTCTGTTCTCATCATTACAATGCCTTTTATTACTTCCATAGGAGCAGTTCAGTCATTCCAATGATTAACTTGCATATTTGTCTTCACCAAGCAAGTTCATACAGATTAAGTCAAATATTAAAAGTAATTAAAAATCTTTTGCTTCCAAGGAGGGGAAAAGTTACTATGTGAATTATAGCGGGAATTAATAGCATTACTCTGCCAATCGTTCAATCATTAACTTTATAAACCCAAGTTTTTCCACAGGCTGATAATTCAGTCTTAGACATTTATACCATGCTAGGTTTTAGCCTACAAGGGTCAAGAGTTTTTTTTTAAATTTGGAAGAAAAAAATTGGTTTACATTTACACTATTTAACTAATCTGATTTATCAAATGCAGCTTGAGTAGCAGAGTTTGATAGGATTCAAACAACTTTTGCTTTGTGAAAGTTTGAGCTGCCAAAGTGTTCAGATTTGGCTAGTGCTTGTGTGTATAGTTTTTTGGTGAAGGCTTTTACTATACATATTTGAAGATTCACTTTAAGTTATGAATTTTTTTACATGCCAGACAAAAAAATATGCAAAGGAAGCCACACATCAACTGAGGGTTTTCTCCTCCTTTTCTTATTCAAAAAAACAAATTGACAAATTCAGTCAAAAAGGACAAAAGCACTGCAAGAGTTATTTCCTCAGCTTTTCACTTCACACCTACATATTGCAGCACATGTAGCCCATCTAGTTGGATTCTAGCCGTTTAATTGGGAAGTGCCAACTTTTCATTTCTGCATTTGCCTCAGGACTCAAAGAATTGGCTCCTTTTTGCTCAGTTAAGCATGCTAAAAGCACAACTCAATCTATAAACAGAGTTGCAGTTGAAGCAAACTTTAAAAACATTTTTGGGACTCATGAAAGTGAGGGATTAATAGCACTATTAGAGCCTGCCAGAGTGCCAACTTCCTCAAATGGTTCTTTCAGTAAACCCTATTTCAGCTATTTTAGTTTGGGTGTCTCACAACTGCAGCTTCCCAATTCGTGATGAACAAACATCCAATTACAGACTAGAAACAGACCAACCTAGTCCTCTAGTTTTGAAACAAAAGCCTGAACCCCTTTCCTTCTCTAAAGGTGACTGGCTACACCAAGAAACTGAGCAAGATGGAAGCAGCTCTTTTAATGTTACTGAAACAATTTAAAAATAGATTCAGTATCTGCAACATATTTTTAATAGTATTTAGAACTGCACATACATATGAGCAGAACATATTGTGGATACTTGCAGAAAGTACCTTCTAATATTAAATATAGTTATTTACAAGTTAGTTTACTGCTGAGTGTTGATAAAGATTAACAGCATGAGGAATAACAAGACCTGTCATTTTAAATTTGCTATTTCCTAATTGTCATACCCAATGCAAGTGATCATATTTTGAACTGGGATTCTTCAGGAGGTCTGTGTTTCCAGACTTCAACCAGGAATTGGATTAGGCCCTTAGTATTACCAATTCCTGTTGTGAAATATAGTTTTGACTATGTTTAAAATTTGTTTAAAAAAAAAAAAAAGACAGCAACATGGATAGTACATAAGGTCTACCTGTTACTTTAACTACTCTTGGCCAAGGAGACTGATTTCAAGTGTCATGTTATTTAGGCAGGTGTCTTTTTTATGATCAGTAGCTTATACACATTTTCTATATGTGAATGTTTAGCTTGTCATTTGTTTTGAATGGATTAATACAAAATCTCCAATTCCACAACTGCAGTGAGAAGCAATTTCCTACAAGAGTTAGGTCTATGGCAATCAACTAATCTGGTACTAAAAACCTTGATATACTGTACACTGTATAAAGCATTAACCTGAAATCTGATTTAAGATACAGGATCTTTCTGGTGCCCTATTCAGTAACAAATGCTTGACAAGTGAACCCTGATACCCTAAGCTGTTAAATGTGCAACGAAGTTTGACGACTTCACAGAATCTTCAGCTCTTCCTGAGGCTCAGATCACTGCTCGTTACTAATGCTGACAGAGATGTACTCTCCGATACATCTTCTTTCTTGAGATTCAGGAATGATTCTCTAGTGATCTGAAGGATTTCCCTCAGGCCTTTGTTTTCTTGCTAGAAGATGCCAAAATAAAAAAAGAGACACTTAAAATAATTCCAGGTGGAAATCAGGACAAAGAAAATGAAAATAAGACCGATTTGGGGAGATTGTTTGGAATGGAAGAGGAAGAAAGTTTTACATTAATCTGTGATTTAAGAGTGAGGGAGTATTTAGGAGTTCTATTTTTTTTGTACTGAACAGATATCTTCAGCATCAAGAAGAGCGCTCAAAGGAAGAGGATAGCTTAAGTTTAAACTTTTTTTTTTAAACAAAGTTAAGATTTCCCCCCTCCATGGGAAAACACTTATTTAAAACATTTCTCTGTGGCAAAGCATTGTGTAATCACATAACCAGAAAGCTACATTGCCTACCTCAAACATTCAAAAAGCGATCCCCAAAATTTTTTTTTTTAAAATGGTTTTTAAGACAAAACACACATGCATGTGGGTTGGAGGTTATTTGCCTTCTGAACCTTCAGCATACATTCTTGTCACATTTTTAAAGCTTTTGTCTAAAACATGAGGGCTAAAAATTTAACTGTTTAAAAATGAAAGCTGAAACTCTCAATCACTTCCCTAGGAGCTGGAATTTTACATAAAACATCCTATTGCAGGACTCATGGAAAAAAATTGCAAGAGTTGGACAGAGCAAAACTGACTAATCTTATTGTCCAAATAGAGTATAATGCAAACAGGAGCATAAAAATAAATTAGATCAAGCTAATTCAATAGCATATTACATTTTGATAATTTTGTCATGAGATGAGGTTGTTTTGGGTTGCAATAATGTGATGGGAACAACAGGATTGGAAAATTTACATAGAACAGAAGCTGAGACTGAAAACCAAGAATGCAGAGCATCCTCTACCATGCAGGACTAAAATGGCAATAAGAGTAGAGAAAAGATTGAACTTTCTTCTTCAAAACTACTGGCTTTGCAGACTTCATGGTTAGTGCTGATGAATGTTGAAAATAGTTGTTTGAATGGTTCATATGAATCCTTAATTAAGCTGAATAGCATAGCATTCTGTAAAGGGCACAAGGAAGTGCCACTGGTAAGGCTCTCTCTATTGTTGCAGAGAATATAGCATCTAAGGAGACATATTAGAAGTCAAAGTAGACAACTGGAGCCAAGGAAAGTATTTGGACGATTGTCTCTCAGAATCTAGTGAGTGCCCAGGACTGATGTGAGAGGAACCCACCCCTTTATGCTCTGGATCCCTTGGGTGTGTTAAGCTTCTGGAGCCTCAGTGGAGTTCAGCCACTGCCCCAATCTCAGGGCATATCTCTTCTAATTGGCACCCCTTCTGAGTGTGAACCCACTATCCAGCCACCTAGCCCTTCTTAGCTCAGCACTGACTCCCCTGCACTTAAACCTACCCCTTTCCCAGAACGCCACCCAAAAGGTGTGAAGCCTCCAGTTTACAGTGCAGCAGTTGTGATGCATACACACTTACAGTTTACACTTTGTACAGTCTAACACAGCGGTGGGCAATAATTTTCGCAGGAGGGCCACTCCACTAATTTTGGTAAGTCATCACGGGCTTCACATTTCTAATATATTAATGGAGGGAGTGCAGGGTCTGGGAGGGAGTTTGGGTGCAGGAGGGAGTCCGGACTGGTGCAGAGTGTTGGGGTGCAGGGTCTGGGAGGGAGTTTGGGTGCAGGAGGGGGTTCTGACCTGGGGCCAGGGGGTACAAGGTGTGGGCTCTGGCCGGGAGGCACTTACTACAGCTGGCTCCCGGCCAGCAGCGCAGCAAGACTCAGGCAGGCTGCCTGCATGCCAAGGCCCCACACCACTCCTGGAAGCAGCTGCGTCTGGTTGCTGCTGGCACATCTCTGTGCACTGCCTGTGCCCACAAGCACCACCCCCGCAGCTCCCATTGGTCGGTTTCCCATTGGCATGGGACCATGGTAGGCAGCCAGCCTGCCTGCGCTCCCCATTGCACCGTGGGACTTTTAACAGCCCAGACTCTGAGATCATGAGGGGGCAGAGGAGGCCAGGCAGAAATGCTAGTCAGGGCAGGCTGGACAGAATGGGTTGGATCCAGGCTGTATTTTGCCCACCCCTTGTCTAACACCTTTATGCTCTTTCATACTTAATACTGTAAAGCACAGAAGAAACTAGACCACAGGAAACAATAAAACATCTTAACCACAATATCCCTCATTTGCTCACCCTTCTGTTGGAAGTGGTTGAAGAATAATCTGTGTTCTGAAGGTGGGCAGGGTATCCCCTGCCTCATGCATGCTGTCACAAGGGAAGTGAGCTCTCCCTCAGACTGAAGAAAACAGCCCCCATGCAGAGACCAGCCTCTGCTCTTTTAAAACCTTCACCATCTGTCAGGTGACACTCAAGCCAGCTTCCCTATATGAGCAAAGTCACCTCCCATCTGCTAAACCAGTTCTTCAGGGCAGGGACCAGTCTCCTCAAGAGTGACTAGATTTCCAGTGATTGGGTACTTGAGACAACTACCCTCTATTGTTGTTTTGCCACCAGCCTTTGGAATTTGCAACCCTACATGGAGGCAGACAGACCACAGAGAAAGCAAAAGGCCGCATTTTCAAAATAGAGAGTTTGCAGTCTGACACAAATATAGGCTTCATAATCTCACACAAGTCGTAAACTGAACAGGCATATTCCCAATTCATCACACCAGGATAGCAACAACTAATTTTCACAGTGGTCGAGTAGTGCAACTAGAAGAATAGGAAAAAAAAAAAAAAGGAAAAGGAAGTGTATTAAAGGCTAAATCCACTGACTTAAAAGCCGAGCATGGTCCCAATGCACTCAATTAAGCCTAGACATAATATATAGATACAGTAGTATATAGCCCAGTTCTCACAAAAACCACTTATTTCAGCAACACTGCACTTCAAGTACTTGCTTCTGACACCATGACTAAAAGCGGATACAGAGAGGAGGTGGGCCAAGCAAAATAATTAAAAAATAGATCTATAATAGGTGGTCAAATAAAGAGACCGCTTTAAGTTTGAGCAAACCCTTGTAATGTTGAGCAAGAGAGCATTTCAAAGCTAGAAAGTTCCTCTGCTTTACGAATACATGCTATATTGTAATTTTATTTCAAAATGTGATAACACTTGCCTCAGGGCATTTAGTGGTGAGAGTGGGAAGAGAAAACCTAGTTGTTGCCTTAGCTTCTTTGATTTAATACTTACTTCAAGCTGAAAAATACGCTCCTGCTCTTTACAACCCTGCTGCTCGTCAATTTCAATGGCTCTTCTCATTACTGCTGCCATTTCTGTAATTTGGTCCACATGCACTTGTAGCTCCTAAACCATAAGTGAAATAAAAAGCTTTACCAATATATTCTTTCCTGCGTTAATAAAAGTGAGCATTAACTTCATTTTAACTACTGTGCCAGTTATCAGAAGTTTGATTTCTACAATAATTTAGATCTGGCAGTAAAAAAAGCCCCACAACGTTCCAACATTAACTAATATTACTGTGACACAATTGATTCAGTAAACTTTTAAAAGAAGGAAGTCATCTTAGCAAAAGGCTTCTTCTTCAGTCTCATGCCTTTGGAAGTCTGGATCAAGCTTGCTACAGTATCAGCAAAACTGACCACATTATCCCTACAGCAGTAATAATAATTTCTTTGCTCTTGTTCATCCCTGACCGTCCTTGCAATATATCTACTACTTCACTCTGTTTTAAAAGTAATCCCTATTCCATCTCTTTTTGTGGGATGGTCCCGGCAACTTCTTGTTTTTGCAAGATGTCCCTTACCTATGTTTGCACTTTAATCAACCTTTGTTATCTTGCCTGCCCACTAAAGGACACATCTGTTCTTTGGTCAAAATTTTCTATTTTACACCTCACCTGGAAGATTAGTCCCCCATTGTCATCTTCCCCAACCATGCTAGGGAATTAATTCTACACCAAGCCAGAGGAAAGTATGTCACCCATATCACCTCCACCATTTTCTGAACGTATTGATTCTGATATAGATGTATTCCATTTAAACTCTGCTTTGCTTAGTATATCTGATTACATCAAAATAGTATGGCTACACTAAAATCATTCAAGAGCATCTGAAAGCCAAATATTAGTTAAAGCAAGCTCAAACGATTCCCCAAAACAAAGGAATTCCTTGGATATCCAGGAGGGTTTATATTAAAATAAAGTTGAAATCAAAAGCTTTGTAACTATTTAAAAAGTTGAAATAATGTTTAGGCTTTAATAAGAAAGTTACAAAGTTAATTCCATCTTTAGCTTGCCCCATTGTGCCTACGTATTGCAGAGGCTTGAAAAAGCCCATGATCTTGCTAAATATGCCTGATCTTCAGGCCATCTGCTACAAGAGATTTGGAATTTTCTTTCTTTTGTCACAACCATAATATTCTTCTATTATTTACTATTTTCAAAAAGGTAAAGTAAAACTAAATAAGATCTGGAAAAAAAAACCCCACCCAATTTTAAAATGTACATTCTGATTTGCTGCCAACTGCCTCCTCTCCAGTCCATAATTAAGTGCTTCATGGACACATTGAGATGCACTGATGAGGAGGAGTCCTTCAGGGTTGTTAAAAGGACAATTTCAATCTCCAGTATAGACTCATTACAAGGTTACTATGGATGTAGACTTTAATTTTAAAGTATTACAAAAAAGTTAAAAGGTGTGCAGTAACCACTGTTTGAGTTGCAATAACTTTGTTGTTTGAAGTATTTGGTTGTTTTAAAAGTTACCATATGGCACTAGGCCACAGAAAGGATCACGTGCCTGCAAAAGATTTTTTTTTTTTTAAATGGTCAAACCAGTTTTTAGGAAGTTTAAGATTAAACTGTTCATAGCAGGAAACTGCATAACAAGTTTAAGTTCAAGGCATATTTCTACACCATACTTAGACCAGTTCTGACTACTTAACACCGTACAAATATTTTTCTAGTATATATGATACTGGTATAAATATTTTCAAATTTGTTTGAAAAAAATTCAATTGCAGAAAACAATGTGGAAAACTTCAGTAGACAAGTGCCAACAGTTGCCACTTGGTAGAACAGTGTTCACTGGTAAAGCAAGATTAATTCCTTGGACACCAAATTTGGAGTAATTATATTCTTAATGCCCATAAGAGAGAGAAGCTTTTAGACTGCACTTCAAGATTACCTAACATTACTGACTATATAGACTAGAAAGAAGTGCAAATGATGAAATTCCAGGTATCTAGACACATTAAAGTCTCCCCACAGATATACTAAATGGGATTGAGTTGGACTAAAGAGATCGAGAGGGCCATGAAATTTCTCTGCTAAAATAATATTTTCCCCAAACAAAACACTCTTGGGATAAATCAGAAGGAGATATTTTGTTTCCTTGCTTAGGACTTAAACTGTTACTGAAACAAATGCAGCTTCTTTGAATGCTTCATCTGTACACTCTTCTAGAAGCATAAACTCACTTTATACAGTACAGACCCATTTACGCGCGGATGTCAAGAGTCAAGCCGTCATGACCGCGTGTTAATGAACCGCGGGTTAAGCGGGCCATGCTGAAAAAAGTGTTTATGATTCACTTAGAAAAAAAAAATGCGAGCCAGAAAGAGCAGAAAATAATGGCGTTTTTTTCCTCTCTTTCTTATGAAGTCTGTCATTCGTCGCAGATGAATGATTTAGATATTTTCCGCATTTGGCTCCTCCATAAATCTTACAACAGTTTCTACAGCACTAAGGGCTTCTGTGGGCGAAATTCTGACCTTTTCAATGACGTCCTCGTTGTCGTCGTCATTGTCATTTAGGCCTGAGTTACTAGAATTCTCGCCATAACTTTTGCGGTCCAATGTAGCCTCGCAGCCTGTTAATATTTCTTCCTCAGACAGAAATTCTGAAGTCAGGCAATCTTCATCCATGTCCAGTCACTCGGTAATGATTTCCAGCAACGTATCCAAACTAAAATCTTTTATCATTTGAAAAAGAAGTTTACCTTTATCCTCTTTTGTCTGCGTGTGTGTTCGTAGGATGTCTTCTTCCAAAAATCCTTCAAAGTCTGGCCCTGAATCAGCGCCACTGCTGGAGTTTTCCGAGTCTGAGCCGTCTTTGACGGACAAGGCATCACCGAGAGCCTTCATCCAGCAGTTCTCAATAGACTTTTGTTTTACTCCGTCCCAAGCTTTTTTAACTCAATACATAATTTCCTTCATGTTTAACTGTTTCAGGAATTCGGAAATGCCTGAAGACGTGCATGATACGATTGCCAAAATCAGCTCCCGTCGATAATTGTTTTTAAAATTCTGAATAATGCCCTGGTCTAAAGGTTGAATTTTTGATGTTGTGTTGAATGGTAGGTATAGCCCTTGAATTTTTCCATTGCTCGATACCAGTGATTTGACTGGAGGATGGGTTGGACAACTGTAAAGTAGCAAAAGTGCTTTGGCTTCGAGTTTCTTCGATAGCAGATGCCTACGAACAGCTGGAACAAAGCTGTTGTGGAACCAGTCGTCGAAAATGTGTCTCGCCATCCAAGCATTTTTGTTGTTAGCATGTATTACTGGCAGTTTGGCTCTATTGAGGTGATTAAACCAGCAAGGGTTATGAAAGCAGCCAATGAGAAGAGAGGCAAGCTTATGGCTGCCAGTCTTATTACTGCAAAAAAGAAGAGTCACACGATCTTTTTAAATCCAGCTGTTTTCTGTGTCTTGTAATTAAAGGCTAACATCTTATCAGGTAGCAGTTTTGCAAATAAAGCTGTTTCATCACAATTATAAAGTTGTTCTTCGTGGTAGTCTTAAAATCTATTTTACAAAATGAACTTGGCAGGAAATGTGTTCGCGGCCGATTCATCAGCTGATCGGCTTTCTCCAGAAATCGATACCTGCGCTATGCCATGACGCTTTTTAAAACGACTTATACATTTCTACACCATATTTAGAATGGCTTGGAATGATTCATCCCCCGTTAAATTTCCAAATTTTGTAGCTTGGGCTTGAAGAACTGGCCCACTTAGCAGCATTCCTTTCAGCCTTTCCTGAGCAAACCACGTGCACATGGCTTTGTCTATTGTGGGTTTTGCTGAATAGCATACATGTTTTCGCTTAAGCCCCGCAGCAGAATCAGTATTTTTACAAAGCCATTCAGTTTAGATTAGGTTTTTTGCCATCCTCAGAGAGAGTATATTCTGCAATCCCAATATCTTTTGAAACTTTGGCTTGGGTTTCTCCGCTATTTACTCCATCTATTGCAGCTAGCTTTTCTTCGACAGTGTAGGAATGCTGATGCTTGCCCTCTGCCATTATATCAGGCCTACGGTTAAAATTTTCTAATGTAGTATATAAATTACTATATATCATCTCTCTCTCTAGCGTGACAATGACTAAGCGTGCATGATACGTCTATACCAATATCAGTAAAGACGTACAACATGTTTCCGCTCCGCACTTCCTGTTGATTTCTATGTCAGTGAGCTAGTGAGCAAATCTGTAGTGCTACATAGCAAGTTCCTGTACCACATGTTAACGAGTCTCGTGTGTTAAATAGGTAGCACTGGGAGGCATGGCGCTACTGCGCTTTAAGCGGATTTGCGTGTAAACGGGTCTGTACTGTAGTACCTACATTTTTTTTTAAACTCCTATTGTATCTATCAGTGTACGTTCTATTTGAAGTTCTCTCCTCTATAGAGGGAGTTTTTCCGATTTTTAACCCAAAAGGTTAACAGGAAGCTCCAAGTCGAAGTGAACTGAGGGATATCCCACTGTTTTATTCTCAGCGTTTATCTGTGAAGTTACTTCTGGTACCTAACAATGCTTATTATTCTATTACCTGTATGTAAAAATCTATTTCAATAGCCCTTCTAATGAAATAGTTCACTGTAACAATTGCAGTACTTTTCATTAACTGTTTATTGTGCCAAGTTACAAAAGGTACAATTTAAATACATGTGTTAATTACTTAAAAAAGATGAATTGAACACTGTCACCTTCTGGCAAAGCCTATTAAAAAAGTGAAGAACCAAAATAATATGGGTCAGCCTTAAGTAGGAGCTGAATACCCTCACACACACACGCCACTGATGACAGGTTAGAAACACACTGGTTTTTAGTAACCCTTTACTCTCCTAGTTTTCCAGGATCATCACAAGCAGCTCACCCAGTATGGACAACTTCCAGATCCACTCAGACATCCTACAATGCACTGGTTACTCCATAGCATCTCTGATTAGTGCTGAAACAGGAAGCCTGCCTGAAGGGGTGGGAGAAGAGAAGAAATATAAGCCTGGTTATTCAATATTCAGAAGGTTCTCCCAAGAGTTTTTTCAAAACTAGTTTAATACCTTCAGAAAAGGGGTTGAATATTGAATAAAACAAGGCTTACCTTATTGACCCAGCACTGATCACAGAAGCCATTAAAGTCACAAGTGCATGCTGGAACACTGAGCTGATCTAAATTATTACTGGAGACTATGATAGCCGAAAGTCCAATATGGCATAGCTCCCCGCCCCCCCGGCCCTGGTCTACAAGAGGAAAAAGAGAATTATGGAAACGTAGTAATGAAATGCTCTTAGATAAATACCTAAACACACATCACAAGCATCTAGTAAGACTGATCTGTTTGTCTGAACAAGCTTCCTGTCCATGTTTAAGTAGGCTATCCTATAAAACTTGGGAATTGCTAATGCACTTTCTAATATAAAATGACATTTGCTCAATTATCTTATTATATTGACATGACTAAGTTAGAATTTTTTTTAAAGACTTATTACCTTGGAATGTTGCTCTTTTAACTTTGTTATTATACCTGGATCGTCCTTTTTGCTGGCCATGAGCAGCCTAAACATCTGCTCTCTGTATTTGCTCATTATGAGTTCCAAAGCAGACTGATGTTCTTCAAGAGATGTACGTAGTTCTACCAAAACAATGTAAAAACTGCTTCAAGACATGCATGCAAAAATACTTCATTTGAGAAAACTAATCTAAGCTCTTAGACAGCACCAAACAAAGTTTGCATAGCGCTTGCGCTGAGAAGTTCTCCCACAGACAGAACCAGGGGACCTATGAAGTCCCTTTATGCTACTTCAGATAAAAGGGCTGGAGCAAAGTGGCCAGAGAAAAGGGTGAGGATCTCGCTCCTAGTGCTCCACTTAAAACACCCAATGCAGAGTCCATCTGAAAGTTAGGCTACTGTTTTGATCTGTAACTTTGCAGAGTTTGTCTGACTTTAAACATGAGCAAAGCTTGTTTTGTTTTGAAAAACAATATTTTGTGATTCTTCAGTATATAGAACCAGCAGTTAATTTCCCCAAAGCTTAGCTTTTCTGCATCAAAGGCTCAAAGCAATTAACCATTACAAAATTAATAAAGGGAGTGGAATTGTACTTAGCAAGCAGGACTGATCTTTGCGTTTCTAGTGCCCTATGGAAACTTCCTATGTGAGACAAGAAAATGGTGAATATGAATCTGTAAGTGCCCCCTTGTTTAGAGTACCCCAAAACCATCAAGAGTCAGAAGATATTTCATTAGACTAATTTTTTAAAAAGAAGTAGAAGCCTCCCCTGTACATAAATAAGTTATTTTCTTGGCAACAGTAAGATAGATATATTCTGTATAGTAGCAGTGCACAATAGTCAAGTCACAGGATAAATAAGAGCCATAAGACCTATAGAAAACTGCCAGCAAAACTACATTTCAAAAATTTCAAAAGGAAAAATAGGTTTCAGGAAAAAGGAAAAATAGTATTTCTTTTTGTTCACCATTGTAATAAAGATGCCAAATCTCCAAATGTCTACACAACCAGTGCACATGACTAAAAACAGTAGTCCTCAAACTGTGGATCGGGACCCCAAAGTGGGTCACAACCCCATTTTCATGGGGTCACCAGGGCTGGCTTAGGCTTGCTGGGGCCAGGGGCTGAAGCCCAAGCCCACCACCTGGCTAGGGCTAGGGCCGAAGCCAAAGCCTGAGGGCTTTAGTCTGGATGGTGGGGCTCAGGTTACAGGCCCCCTGTGTGGGGCTAAATCCCTTGGGCTTCAGCTTTTGTCCTCCTGCCTGGAGCAGTGTGGCTCAGGCTTCAGTCCCCCCTCCTGGGGTTGTGTAGTAATTTTTGTTGTCAGAAGGGGGTCATGGTGCAATGAAGTTTGAGAACCCCTATACTACAAGAATTTAAAATTAGAAGAGAACATTCTTAGGGTATGATCCTACATCCATTGAAGTCAATGACAAAACTCCCATTGATTTCAATGGAGCAGGATCAGATTCTTAAAGAACAAAATATTAAGCCTCACCTTTATTTTCCTGTTGCAGTTCTCTGATCTGCCTGTTTTCCTGCTGGATACCCATTACTAATGTAGATCGAGGCCGATGTCTTGCTACCTCATTAAGCTCTTGAATTTCTTCTTGGTACTAGTAGAATTAAACACATTTAAAAAAAAAAAAATACTTGTGTAAATGAAGGCAAGGAGGTGTATTAGTACTGACTGACTAGTTTCAAAGTTCGAATCTGACCAATACTAAATAGCCCTTTTGGTACATTGCTTATTATTAATTAGCAATCATTTAAAGACCATTAACAAGAGCTAATTTTTAACAAATATTCTTATGTCTGAACGTTCTGCTGAACATTATAATTCCCCTGAGAAGCAACATTTACTTCAAAACTTTAAATGTGTTACCTTTATTTATTAACAGGTTTCAGAGTAGCAGCCATGTTAGTCTGTATTTGCAAAAAGAAAAGGAGTACTTGTGGTACCTTAAAGACTAACAAATTTAATGGAGTGTAAGCTTTCGTGATGAAGTGAGCTATAGCTCATGAAAGCTTATGCTCCATTAAATTTGTTAGTCTCTAAGGTGCCACAAGTACTCCTTTTCTTTATTTATTAGTTTTTCTACTTTACTGAGATTGTTAACATGACAGGATGGGTTTCCCAAACATGGACACAACAGAGCCTTTATCACCACTGACCCACCCACACTTAGCAAAACAGTAATATCCATTGGTTAGGTTAACAGCAGAAAGGAAATTGTTACCCACTCAAAATAAGCTGAACAGGCTACTTTGCCACAGAAGAAAATATAAGATGAGATAAGAATACTCATGTAAGAGAAAACAAGAGATTGTTCTTATGTAAGTCTCTATAAATTTTTTTTAAAAATTAGCGGAGATGTGCAAAATTAAGCAAAAATATTAAGCTACTTTTAAATACTTTGTAGAAGAGCAGCACACAGACACTGAAAGTTCCATAATAAATCATAAAACCCAATCCTACAGACACATGACCATGCTTAATTTTAAGCATGTACATGTTTGTAGGATGGGGTCATAGTAACTGACGAATAATTTGTTTGTAGAATCATGATTACTAGAGACAAGAGACCTATTGGATCACAGAGTTCATCCCAACCCCCATGAGATCACCAGAAGAGGTACTGAATATTAAACAGATTATGCACTATACTGTAGGAGTCGAAAATATTTAAACCAGTTTTAAATACTGATGTTTCAAGTGTTTTCAAAGTGTTTTTTTGAGTAAGCAAAATGGGAAAACAAACCTGTTTCATCGCTTCCACCCGCTTGTTGAGAGCTGTAGTCTGTTCAATAAGAGCTTCTGCTGCGTTGTCATGCTCTCTTAGTCGCTCTACTAGTGCTTTAGCATCAGCTAGGGCTTTCTCAATCGTGCAACTCATTTCTAAAAAAATAGAAGTCATTATTGCCAAGACAAAGACTGTTTATCATACAGCTGTATCACCACCATGTCATACCTCAAAACACATCAAATGTTTTCATTAACTTAGAAGCAGTCAGATACATTCTTTCCCTCATCCCCAAATAAGGAGAAACATCCTCACATTGCAGGAACTATTTTCTCCTGGGGAACAAGGAAACTCTACATCTCTCATGGAACCCTGCGGCCCCCATTTCCTTCATCCACCTTTAATCCCCCAAATTCAAGGCCATGCACCACAGCCAAGAGCTGAAAGGAAATTTTTGCAATTACAAAAAGTTATGTCATATTAACGGAAATTCAAGACACCTATTAAAGGCCATCAAAAATACAGGGATAGCACTTTTCCCCTTTAGCTGTAGTAATCTGGTTGAAGTGTAAATAATTTCCCGACAATCTTAATAATGGAACACTATGTTCAAAGGGCATCCAGAGAGTTCTCTTTTTGAGACCTACATTTATCCCATAAGATTCAGTAAGACAGGGCAGAGATGGAACCATAGGTTGTGTGCTATTCTGAAAGTGGAATAGCTGGAATTTAATATGGAACAAGAAGGGGAACTAGTACAAATGTGTTCAGAGCATAAGGGGAAAGGTGATGCTGGCACCTTCATTTTGGATTATTGTTCTGGCTCGTTCCTCCAGAAGGTATTACAGCAATCAATGAGACATGAGGGCCAACTTCTTGCAAAGAAGGATAAGCAGGAAGGATGAAATTCTGGAGGAGCTGAAAAGACAGTGGTGTGACTTGCACATAGCCTTTTTGAAAAGTGCATAGGAAAAAGAGGAAAATCAAAAGTTATTTGTAAATTTGGTTACTGAAGAGATGGTGGTCTTGAAGCAAAAAAAAAAAAAAAAAAAAAAGTTGTGTCACTCTCCTCCCTTCAATATATTTTGTGGTCCCAGTGATGTATTTGAGAGGGGGGAAATCTAGAACTGATCCTGAAAGGCTAGGAATAAAGATAAATTTTTATGAATCATGAGAGTTGAGGTGACCACTAACCTGACAAGATGAAATCACCCAGGGAAAATTTAGAGACACAGAATAGATGATTTTTATCTATGTCTAAAAATGACTCCAGTACCACTGCATGGAGTATACTTTCCTCACATCAAAATATGGACTTTTTAACAGTACTGAGTAACACAGCAATTTAGGACACAAAATGAACACACGGAACTCAATTAAAACTTCACGATCTATCATTACAGCCACTGTGACCAGGCCCACACTATGGCTAAGGTAACAAAACTATATATTCAAATTTGAAAAACGGCCTTATGAGATTTTATACCCTTAGTCTTGGTACTCAGATTATATTTGGTTTTTTATTTGGAGATTTTGATGCAAAGTCTCTTCAGTCATTTTTGAGTTCAGAGTATAGAGGAAAACCCACACATTTTTTCCATAAAAAAAAAAAACCAACAACACAAAACCTGCTCATGCTTTTGAGCAGTAAACAGAGCTACAGTAAAAAAGACAGGTTTCAGAGTAACAGCCGTGTTAGTCTGTATTCGCAAAAACAAAAGGAGTACTTGTGGCACCTTAGAGACTAACCAATTTATTTGAGCATAAGCTTTCGTGAGCTACAGCTCACTTCATCGGATGCATACTGTGGAAACTGCAGAAGACATTATATACACAGAGACCATGGAACAATACCTCCTCCCATCCCACTCTCCTGCTGGTAATAGCTTATCTAAAGTGATCACTCTCCTTACAATGTGTATGATAATCAAGTTGGGCCATTTCCAAAAAAAAAAAAGTCAGTAAGAGTTGGGTGCTTAACTCCCTTAAGCTCCTTTGAAAGATTTTAACTCCCTTTGAAAGCCAAGATTTTAAGCAGATCCTAACAAAGTCCCTACTTCATGACTGATTTTTTCTGACAGACTAGTCCAGGGTGTGCTGTTAAGAGGAGGAATGATTCAATGAATCAAACATTTACATGTAAAGCAAAATCATCCCCATTCCTACCCTACTACGATCAGGGGGGGAAAAATACAAGATAAAAAGAGAGAACAATTTTGATTGCTCAACGGTGTTCCTGCATTTTAAGAATATGCTGCAAATCTTTAATTCTTCAAAGATTTTGATATCTATTTAAATTACACAGATGTTTTAATTTGATTAATCTGACCAGAGACTCCCTCTCTGCCCTGAATACAACATGTAATATACAAACATGTTTACTTTGGTATTTATGTAAAGGTAGCCAGGTGCCTTTTCAGGGATCCCATTGGTAGAGAATGGAAAATATCTTGTTTATTCAACAAGTAAGCTTCACTTAAAAACTGGCAGGTGCAGGCTGGCTGTAAATGTGTAAATGGCTGTGTAATGTGTAAATGTGTAAACATTTCCTGTAAATGTTTGTAGTGTTAAGTCTTTTCTGGTTATCAAGTGCCTCGTTAACAGTTAATCTTGTGGTACCTAGCCAAGTTCTTTAGAATTTTGTGTGTTGCCAGAAACAATCAGATTGATTTGTTTTGTCTTAGTCTGGCGATATAAGGGTTTTTTTAAATGAATATTAATGGCGAGTTGGCTCATATGGTTCCCCCCACCAATCTGTGTTCTTGTTCTTTCTAGGCTAGAACACTTACAACAACACACACAAAGTTTGGCCCCTTCCACACAGGCTGGCAAAACTGATAGAAGCAAGGTTAGCCAGAACCATATTTAGATAGTTTAAAAATTGTTCTTTAATTTATTTTCCAGCCCACTATGAATGGAGCCTCACACTGTACAGTAGAAACATTTTTTGCACGTCAGTTTATATTAGAGCTTATATATCATTAACTTGGATTCAACTACACCATTACTGACGCACCTTTCTAGGCAAATAATCAATTTTGCCCTTCCTACATTGCTGTAAAAAAGCCCCTTTGTAGCAGAATCAGCAAGGTTCTGAATTACAGTGAATGACTCAAGAAAGACTGAAATGAAACCACACATCCTGCATAAACATAGCTCTAGGGGACTTCTTGTGCACAGTTGACATTTAGGGGCAAGTCTGGGAGAAATACAGCAACATATGTCCCACCAAAAATAGTGGGAGCCCAGGTGGTGCAGAAGATACTCCCAGTTCTGATGTTAGTGTCTTTGAGTGGGAGATTACTATTATTTACCAGTAGCTGAAAGCCTGTGCTGTAACATGGGAGCAATTTGTAATGCCATGTGTGTAAAACAGCCCAAGATAGTAAAAATTGGACAGTAACAGACTGACAATCCCAGTGAATACTGAACCAGGTTGAGATTCCAAACACAGTGAACTTTGAACATACTTGTAGCTGCTTCTGTTACTTCACACTGACTGTACATTCATTTTAGTTTTCAGAGCGACACACTGAATGACATTCTTGGAACCAGAAATGTCAGGGTTAGCACAGAGCAAGAGCAACAGCTCTAACAGCACAGCAATACAGCCACCTACATACTCACTTCCTGTCGTTAACTAATTGCTTTGAATCTTATCAAACTCAAAAAGAAAAGGAGTACTTGTGGCACCTTAGAGACTAACCAATTTATTTGAGCATGAGCTTTCGTGAGCCACAGCTCACTTCATCAAACTCAGTTGCCTTAAAAACATACTAACCCCCCCCCCCACACACACACACACACAAACACAACCTTCCTGTATCTTTCTGCCTTTCTCCATCTCTGCTAAAACCTCTCAGCCCGGTTTATGCTCTTTAATTTGTCCCCCTTTTGATGACTAGTCTTCTACCACGGAACAGTTTTGCCACACAGAGCTTGGGCAAAGGTTCACAGGCACGCCTGGGAGAGCACCGCACGCAACCTCTCACGTAAAACACAGAGCGAGCAGCATCCCTCCCCCCCCCGCCCGCCCGCCCGGGGCATTTATCACACGAATCCCTCCGCGTTTGACGGCGAAATAGTCAAGCCATGCCGCTGCGTGAGCGCCCGCGTTTGGGGCCGCTGCCGTAGGAGAGCTGGGGTCTCGGGCTGCTCAGCCAAGGCGGAGCGCGGGGGCGGGGGGGAGGCGGGGGTGCTTGGCGAGCACGGCTCCAGCTGCCCCACAGGCGCGTGCCTGACAGGGCTGTTTTGGTGCCGCAGCGTCGCGCGCCGGGAGGGACAGGAAGGAGGGCGGCAGCGCCCGATACTGTTACCTCACGACAGCGTCACGTATCGCGATACCAGGGGCGCTCGTGGGTGGATGAGGCCCTCTGTGGCTAACGTTCACCGGGCACGGCCACAGGCGCCCGAACGTCACAATCGCCCCCACCCCTCCCATTCCCACGGCCAGCGCCAGCCCCGCTCCCTGTAACCCTCCTCCGGCGTCCGGGGGGGAGGGGGTCCCCAACTCACTCATATCCGGTGGCGCCGGCAGAGCGCGGAGGCTGCCGCTTCAAATAGCGGCGAGTGCGGGGGAAGGCGCCAGGCCGAGGAGAGACCCCATGAGGAGGGAGCGCGACGCTCCACAACCACAGCAACCCGCCAGAAAGAAGAGGCTGGAGGGAACAGAAACCAGATATCGCGAGACTTCCAGCCCTATCCACCTGCTCGGCTTGTGGTAAAGAGCCACAAGCAAATATCGCGAGAGTGTCAGTTTCTCTTGCGAGCCCCGTGGGAAGTCCCGCGAGAGGCTCTACGAACGGTGGGTGTGTAAGTGTCCGAGTCTCGCGATACCAGTGTGGTGACGGTGGCCAGGCACGAGCATGGGGGCGTGAATGGCCCAGGGTGCGGGGCGCATCGCTGTAGCCAAGCCCGGGGCAGCGGCGACAGGCCCCTGGGCTCCTGGCTTCAGCGGCAGTCTCAGGGTGTCGGACCCTGAGGGGTGAGCGCAGCGGGGAGTCCGGCTGCTCCCCGCGGGGGCCGGGGCCGGGGCCGGGCTGTGGGGCAGCGGCGGCAGGAGGGAGATGGAGGGCACCAGGCCGCCGCGCCGCCCTCCCGTCCCGGTGTGAAGCCCAAGTGCGCCTGCGCGCTCCCTGGGTGGGCAGAGGGGGCCCCGGGCGGCGCTTCTCCGGCAGAAGTAAGAGAACTCACCCCCCCACCGCCCGGTGTCTGTCTGTCTGTCTGTCTGTCTGTCTGAGGAGCTGGGACTCCTGGGTTCTGTTCCCGGCTCTGCCACTGGTTGTTCCGGCTCCCTCAACTAATGCCAGGCCCAAGTCTTCTTCGCACGGTGCTGGAGGAGGTTACGGTCTGTCTGTGCTCGTATTTAAACTATTATTGGCTCCCGACAGCCGCGCCTGTTGGTAAGATCATCTACAGAGCTTGATAGTGTGAATAAGTCTTTAGAGGCTGAAAGGAGAAAACCGCACGTGAAGGTGGAGCATGGTGTGACCCTGTCCGCACTAGGCCGTAAAACCTGCTTGTTTATTTCCAGGGGAAAACCAAACCCAGCATGTGTGTGTGGTTTGCTTGGTTCCTTTATTTTTTTAACTGCATTGTCATTCAAATTTTGTTTGCAGCGGTGTTATAGTCGTGTTGGTCCCAGGATTTGAGAGAGACGCTGGCTGAGGTAATATCTTTTATGGGACTGATTTCTGTTGGTGAGCAAGACAAGCTTCAAACTTCAGTTCTGGCAAGAAGAGCTCTATGTAAGTTCAAAAGCTTGTCACTTTCATCAACAGAAGTTGATCTGACAAAAGATACTACTTCGACCACCACCCATTCTAAAGTTTTTACATAAACCTATTTGAATGATTTTAATTCTAAAAACATTCTAACTCAATCTGTGAATGAAAATGTTTCCTGTTTTTAAAAGGGAAACAATAAGAACATCAAGGTTCCTAATGGGTATAACAGGAAATCTCTAAAAATTAGAAGGCTTGAGGGAAAGAGGATAGGAAGGAATAATTGGAGCGTGACATGGATAGTGGGTGGGACCAGCTATTGTAAATTGGATCGGGATTTGCAAACTGTTAGGCTGTGTCTACACTGCCACTTTCAGCGCTAAAACTTTTGTTGTTCAGAGGTGTGAAAAAAACGCTCTCCTGAGTGACAAAAGTTTTAGCGCTGAAAAGCATCAGTATAGACAGCACTTGATCTCCCGGCAATAAAGCTACTACCACTTGTTCTGGGTGGAGTTTTTTATCGCCGGGAGAGCTCTCCCCCTGTGATTAAAGTATGTCTACACTGCCACCAAACATCAGGGGATGAATTTTTCTGACTTAGTATACCTAGAGTTGAAGGAAATGGTATGTAAGTGATTCAGTGGACTGAAGTTATAAAAACAGATTGTCAGTAGTTAAAACAATGTTTACATTTTATTTTAAGTAGAAAGATTTGTGATCATTCTAAAAAATGCAGAAATTGAGTTTCTTTTAGATCTTCAAGATCAAATGTGCTATTGAACAACACAAAAAAACAAATTTAAGGTGGAAAAACAGAACATTGACAACATGGATGGGTCTGAAAAATGCCATCTTTAATACTGAGCACATCAGAATTAAGCCCATGTTAAAGACCTGGTGAGATGCCATGAAGGCAAAACTTAAAAATGATTCAGATAGTCTGTGAAAACTTTTCATTACTTAACTGGCATGACTTATTCCCAGATACAGAGATCAAAGGTTGAGTACAGAATGTGAGGAAGCATGGTTGGTAGAACATAATCTTGAGGTCCTTCTCTTCTGGCACTTAAAAGTTGAACATCTTGATTTCTGCCTTAAATCTGTGTTTGTGAAGGAGGTTGTGTCACCATCCAAATGGTGTGAGAACTGTGGTAGTAGACTCACCGGGGACTGTACAGTTGAATTCAGAGTTTTGTCAATTTTTAAAAGACCTCTTCTCCTATCTGGTCAGCATCAATCAAGAATACTTTTAACTCATTTGGAATGGTTCATAATAGGAGGTTCTGAAAAATATATCTGTATGTAAGGGCAGATACAAAAGCTTGGTAGTCTTAAATAGGTCATAGTTGGGGACTGAATTCTTTGGTTTACTTACAGAATAGCAACATTAGATAATTGTGTTCCTTTTAATGTTTGAAATTCATTTAGAAGCACAGCTGTAATACTGTTTGCATCTACATTCATCCTGGTTACAAATGGTGTCTTAGCTGTGTTTAGAAACTGTCCAAAAATCCTAATGCTGAGGATGGGGAGACTGTAGTAGGGTTTCTGCTAGCAATGTTTCGTTTAAATAGTTCTCCATGTTGAACAGGGAAATAACATTTTGATGCATGACAATTTTGAAAGGACACAGTTAACTTAATCTCTCACTTCAAATAATGAATTTAAAATAGTTTCAGGTAGTAGGTTTCTGCCCCCAAGTTTCCATGCCAATTTTTAACTTTGCAATCACATTTTCCTATTCTTTAAAATGTTTTTCTTTCCTCTTGCTGTGCAAAAGATCCATACAAACAAAAGGGAAATCTCTGTGTGCAGAGGTGGAAGAGAAACTGACAATCTGCAAAACGCTGACAAATGCACAAACTAACAAACTGTAAAAGAAAAGTTTCTTTGCTCTTAAAAACTGTTTAACTACCACCAGCTAAGATTACTATAAGTGACTAAAAAAACAAAACACAAAAAACCATACAGATGATGGTTTTTTAAAAGTTAGTTAGCATAATTTCTGGTGTGAAAATCTTATTTTGAGAAAGCTAAATTTAGTTGACTGAATTTGCTTTGCTTTGTGTGCTGAGGGCTGTGCCTACAAATATAATGGAGTACTTGTGGCACCTTAGAGACTAACCAATTTATTTGAGCATGAGCTTTCGTGAGCTAAAGCTTACTTCACTTCACAGCATCCGATGAAGTGAGCTGTAGCTCACGAAAGCTCATGCTCAAATAAATTGGTTAGTCTCTAAGGTGCCACAAGTACTCCTTTTCTTTTTGCGAATACAGACTAACACGGCTGTTACTCTGAAACAAATATAATGAACTACGTTAGAGAGACAAGTCAGGTAAGATCATATCTTTTATTTGATCAGTTTCTGTTGGTGAAAGAGAAACAAGCTTTCTAGCTACACAGAGCTCTTCTTCAGGTCACTGCAATGAATTACTTTGCTGAAAAATTGCTGCCTGCTCTGTAATTTGTTATTTTCAGAAATAATATTTTAAGGTATATTTTTAGATATACAAGCAAAAAAACTTACTGCTTACTAATTTCATTTTTAATCCTTATATGAGGATGAACTGCAAAAAAAAAAGTAGTACCTATTTATTATTTGCTTTTTCTATCACATTCTCTTCAGTTTTCTTCTCTTTCTGGGGAAAGTGGTTTCTTCCTGGGCAGGGATTGTGTATTACTAGTTTTTAGTTCAGAAGGATTTTCTTTTTAAATACCAACCATAAGTAAGGCAAACAATCAATGCAAATGGGTATTTATGGTGGAAATATTTGTGCATCTGTAACTAAAATCTTACCAACAGCAGCTCTCTAATAAAGTTAATATTTGTTGTACAAATTTAAATAAAATAACACTAAACATCTTCAAAGGCTCTAAGTTCATATAGTGGTCTTCTCCTGGTGCTTTGTAATTTTTTTGTCTGATTTCAGGATTTATTCATTTCAGGAAGAAAATGAAAATTTTCTCTGAGTCCCATAAAACTGTTTTTGTTGTG